TACATTTATGAAGGAAGCTTGTGTCACAAATGGAACATAGGGAAGAGTGAAACTGGTGTTTAAAGTGAGGGAGAAAGCTAAGGGTTCTATAAATGAATTTATATGAATTATGAATTTTTATTAATGTTTTATTTTTTGCACAAATAAATGCATTTTTACATTGAAAAATACTCTGAATGATAATGTGTGTGTAATATGTTTTCTCCACAAAAAACCCCAGAGTCTATCAATATGCAAATATTCCTCAATTAAAAATTTTAACTGCTGGACACAAGATGTCTCCAACTTCTTTGCAGAAAAGTCTAGGCTCAGTACATGTCCCTGTCTGCCTAACAAGCCACTGAAATTAATAGTAGTCTCCTTTTTCTTGACATATGGTGACATATGGTATTTGTTGGGCAGTATTTATCTATATTTATAACATATTATGTAATCACTGCACTGTGGATATAATAGAGCATGTTCTCTATTACTGCCTGCTGCTCTGGAAGGAGACTGCAACAGTTCGGGTTTAAAAGAATGGTGAGGGGAAGGACACATACGTAACTTGTAGAAGGAAACATTATAGAAAACAATCACTGTTTCACTAATGAACCTACTAAAAAATAGAATAAAAACAAGACCTTAACTGTGTAATGTATTGCCATAATCACCATGATATATTAGATATAATCTGTAATGCTAATGAGGTCATTTATCCAATTAATGCCATGATTTGCAATTTGCAATTATTTTTATATACTTTGTCCTCGCACAATAAAGGGCACTGTTCAGATGATTTCTACATCTCAAAAGATTATATAGATAATACAAAAATATATGTATAAATGTAAGAAGGTGCCTTAAAATCTTAGACCACTTCATACAAGGAAGCTGTGGTGTGAATATGCCTTTGTCATGTTTTCTTTTTTATATATTGTGGTCCAAGCTATATTACATTTGGGGACTACTTCTGGATTTTAAACCAGTTGACCATGAAGAGCATCTAATTGGTGCCTCAAATGACTGCAGTTGCAAACAAGCTAAAGTGGTTTGTGTGTAGGGTTTGGTTTGGGGTAAAGTCAAGAGATATGGAATATAGTGGCTATGAGTAAATAAATTAGTCTCAGTCAAAGTGTAGGCAAAGCTCTTTGCAAACTATAACATCTACAGTGGCTGGCCTTAATTAAGAAATGAAATGCAAATGTGGAGTTTGTGGAATCTCATGCATTCCAAGCAAATTTACAGTATGCTACCCCTGAGCCAGTACTGTGGGTGTGTTCTTATCTGACTTGTCAATGGAGAGAGCGAGAGGGAAGTACCGCATGAGGACGAACAGACGGTTACTGTCACACACTCCAGTGCCGTCCTGAAAGGTGCGCTGTCAAGCTTCTCCAACAATCTATTGATGAAGGCCAACTGCCTGTCTAAAAAACCTGCAAGAGGAAACCTTATTACCATGCAAGTGTGACTGACTCATATGTGTGGTTGCTCATATGATAGCCTGCTGCATACAAAATACTGTACACATCCCAGTAAACATAAATGAATTAGTACATGCAGGGATCCAATCAGGCTTTACCCATACATTATCAACAGAAATCACGTCTCTCAGTGGGTAATTTGATGAGACCTCTGCCCTATATTCTACTGGAAACTGTGGAGAGGACTACTGCTGGGTGCAGGGCACTTGTCTAAATACATCATATTTACTCCATTCATCCCCTCAAGAGCTTGTAGTATGTCCGTGTTTTCCATTGGCTCTTGTCTTTAGGCTGTTTTAGCTAAAGGAGGTTAAGCACACGGCTGCTGCTTGCAGATCAGGGTTAATTTCTGAGGCAAAACAGAGTGTGTTTGCATTGCATATACCTAAGTCTGTCTCAGTCCAGTAATGTATGTTTACAAATGCTTCACTTCATATTAAGGCTAGTCACAGCATTGAAAAGGTGACTGTGTCTGGAGGAGATAACTGTGCAATCAGAGAGAGTAATGGAAGAAGACTCCTGAAGAAAGTAGAAAGAAGAAGCAAAAGAGTCCATAGCTAAATAAATGCTCACAATGACACTGTTAACATGCTAATGTTTAGCAGATATAATGTTTACCATGTTCACCATCTCAGTTTTTAAGAAATCAACAAGATATTATGACATTTTGTTTTTATTTATCTATTAAGGAATAGAATATTCTATTTGAATCACTTGCTCACCTTCTGCTCCGTATTTTGTATCATAAAAACACTAAGATTTGTGTTGTTGCAACAAGCATCATCTCTCTCACAATGTAAATACAGTCCCCATAGGACTTATAGTTTTTTCCAGACGTTAATTGATAGGGAGAGTGCTGTCACGCTCTCATTGACTGTACAATCTGCAGGTACTCAGTCTCTTCCCACTCCATCTTAAACTTACAGATTCTCTCTTCTTTCAAACAATTTGAACACGTAATACATACATCACACTCTGGCACTAATGAAGTGGCTCTGTGCTGAAACACTGGTAGCAATCAGCTTTTTTTTTTCTGTTACAAGGTTCACAGTTCAATACTCACGCTTATGACATACTGGCAGACACAAAATTGTCAAGAAAACATATTATTATTTATTACTTATCATTATAAGAATGTCAGCGCTACAACTGTTATTTTCTATGCAATTAAAAAAAATTTAATCTTGCTTACTGTTTACTCAGTGGCATTGGCTCAGTGCATAGCATGGGTGTGTTACAAAGGTTTGATCACACCTGACAGCATTATTACATTTTCTAGGGGGCACTAAAGAAACATGATATTTTTGTAATTGTAATTTTGTTGTCTTAAATGAAATGAAATTATCCATGAGAATGTGCACATTGACATATTAAAGCATGGCACAAATTGTCACACTTTGTGGCCTTTAGGAAAACACCATTAACTGGCATGTCTCTTTAATGTATTATTTACATGGTAACAAAATTCTGCAAAGTTGTACACATGGGGATGCTGTAAAAGTCTGTAGCATTTGATACAATTTCACCTGTAAGAGTCATTAAAATATGTGAAAAATTGCTGCTGTAGCAGCAGCTTTCAGCTGCCACAGCTGGTAACAGCAACAGCAGCAGCTAACAGCTTCCAGCTCTCACACGCATATTCGTCAGGAAATGCACTAGTTAGTCATAAACTACAATATTGGACAAATAAAAAGAAAATTTCCTGATGGTGACACTAAATGAAATGTCGCGATCACCAATGTCAATTCACCATTAGGGTGACATACATCTATACAGTAATTCACAGCAATCCATCCGATAGGTTTTGAGATATTTCAAGTGATGGACAAAGTGACCAACAGTGCCACCCCCTAGAGAAATGCCGCTAGCGTGACTAAAAATAGATTGAAACACATGTTCAGAGCATCCACCACATGCAAAATTGTGATCCTAGTACACATATAGTATATAACACTCAAGATTTATAATATCACAGAAAGGGTTGATAGCTATGTTTAGGTTCTTGTGGGTTGGAATAAGTGAGCTGTAACAGAAAACAGTACTTAATAGTGTGAGTGTGGAAGGTTCCAATTACATCCATGGGGATGCCATTGTTTGGGAAGCCTCCAGGCATACAATGATGCCTGAGGGAGGAGCTAGTTATATTGAAGCTCATGGGTATTTACTAATCACCACTGTGTCTCATGAGGAATCCTGCAAAATGACAAGTTTTCACCATCTCTCTGTTAGCTCTGTAATGCTGTGTGGGAAAATAACTTTATGTTATGAGTGTGACACCATGTCAGTAGCATGGAGTTTTCAGTCAAACATTATCAGCGATTCCTGTTGAACTCACCACCAACTATCATCTCCACAAGGGAATCAATATATTTGTCTGGGTTAGGTGGGCACCATAACAAAATCTGTCATGAGATTTAAATGACTTGACAGAATGGTTTTAACTCGAGAAAGCAGCAAACAGCACACTGATAAAATTCTTATCTCTGTGCCATTGTTGCTTTTGTTATCTCGCACTATCTGTGAAGGGATTTGTGGCACTAGCTGCTGGTGATGTGGATCCCTGACAGAGTAAACAGTTTGAGATAGAGGAACATTGAATTGTCGCTGTTTCCACTGCCAGTCACTGCCACAGAGCTGAAGCGCATCAGACAGCAGCTCTGCCCCTTTAATGGCTGCACTTCACCTAGAGACCAGATGGACATCTATACGTTTAAAACCAAAAATACTTAAAAGGACTTGAAATGCAGCATTGCATCATTTTGTTGACTCAAAATTGTCAGCTATCATAAACTACAAGAATGTTCTAACGTTGAAAATATTGTATGCTTGCCAGCTGCACAAGCATCGGCAACTATATCACTCTAGATCTGTTAAAGTGGCCATAATCAATACTTTTAGAATAACACTGCATAAAATGACTATGTGTAATATGACAGGGACCACTTGTAGTGACAAACCAGAGATAATTATCACCCAGCTCTGCAGTTTCCCTTAGCTCTGCTGAGCTTTGTAATGTATTTCAGCTCAATGTTTTGGTTTTCCAGCTGGCGACTTTACTGTTTTGGTTCACTTTCACTCTTACACTCACTAATATTTCCCTCAGGAGTCGGTGGAAACCGAAACAGAGCTAAAAGGAGAATGATTTTCCAGAGGCCAAGAAACACGATTCTGAATGAATGCTAATCTTGTCCATGTCTGCTGGATGTATAAATATAATATTAAAGGTCCTGTGTGTAACCATTATGAGGATTTATTGGCAGAAATGTAATATAATATTCATAGGCATGTTTTCATTAGTGTATTATCACCTAAAAATAAGAATGTCTTCATTACCTTAGAATGACCATATGGAGTCCACCATTATATACTGCCATTTCTAAAGCAGCCCAGAACCGAAAAACCAAACACTGGCTCTAACACTGAATTCTTCCACTGAATTTTTCACTAGTTATGCGGCTACCGTAGTTTCTCCTACACACTTGGAAATGGAGGGTGAGGCTAAGGGGTTACTGAAATATTTTACTTCTCTTTCTCCAGGTGGCCAACCTCCTGCGATTGTTCCAGATCCCTCAGATTAGCTATGCCTCCACCAGTTCAAAGCTGAGCGACAAGACCCGCTATGACTACTTTGCCCGCACTGTGCCCCCTGACTTCTACCAGGCCAAGGCCATGGCTGAGATCCTGCGTTACTTCAACTGGACCTACGTGTCCACTGTAGCATCAGAGGGCGACTATGGTGAGACTGGTATTGATGCCTTCCAGCAGGAAGCCCGTACTCGCCAAATCTGCATCGCTACTTCAGCCAAGGTGAGCCGCTCCATGAACCGCCAGGGCTATGACAATGTGATCCGCTCTCTGCAGCAGAAGTCCAATGCCAAGGTGGTCATCCTGTTCACCCGCAGCGAAGACGCCCGTGAGCTGCTGGTAGCCGCTACTCGCATGAATGTCACCTTCACTTGGGTGGCCAGTGATGGATGGGGAGCGCAGGAGAGTGTGGTAAGGGGCAGTGAGACAGCAGCAGACAGGGCTTTCACCATCGAGCTGGCCTCTTACCCAATTAGAGAGTTTGAGGACTACTTCACCAAACTGAACCCATACACCAACACAAGGAACCCATGGTTCAAAGAATTTTGGGAGCACCGGTTTGGTTGTAGCCTTCAGGAACCTGGCTGCAGTGAACACAGCCTACGAGATGGAACTTTTGAGCAGGAGTCCAAGATCATGTTTGTGGTAAATGCAGTCTATGCCATGGCCTATGCTCTGCACAACATGAGGCAAGCTGTATGCTCCAACACATCCAAGGTCTGTGATGCCATGAAACCAGGTAATGGCAAAAGGTTCTACAAGGAGTTCATCTTAAAGACCAAGTTTGAAGGTAAGCAAAGCAACGAAAGCAAAAGGAGACAAATGTGTTTCTCGAACAAGAACGCTTGTGTTATGTATACCTTTTACGTGTGAAACTGTTTTTAAATAGCGGAGAATGGGATTAAATTCCTTTTGAACGTTTCATGTGAAGCAAACGGCGGGTGGTTGCAAATAAGCATGTCACTGGATTAAGACTTCAAATGATTTCCTCTGCAGCACTGAACAAGGCTTTGTAATTATTCAATTAGCAAAAATGATTCATTAATTAGCATGGAATCAGTGGGAGAGGACACTATCTAGAACATACTATCCAGAGAATGTTGGCTATTGGTTGGATGAATACCCACATTTAAATTAACTTAAAGGCAGGAAACCAGTATGTTGTGTATTTACAGCAATTTAGTGATCATATGCTAGGATAGTGATTTTTTATGTTAGTAATGTTTGTAAGTAAACAAATTCATATAATTTCGTTAAATAAATTGTACTGTTTTAGTCTTTTTCTTTTGTTATGCTTGTTTTACTGTCTTGAGATTTACAGTGTGGATATGTTTTTTTTAAATCCTTTAAAGTAGCTTTAAATCAACATTTGTGTATTTTTGCCTACTACCAGCTCCATTCAGACCTGCAGACACAGAGAACATGGTGCGTTTTGACTCTTTTGGCGACAGCATCAGCCGCTACAACATATTTCATTACCACAAAGAAGATGGGAAGTTCATTTACAAGAAGGTTGGCTACTGGGACCAGAACCTGACCCTGAACACCTCCCTGGTACCCTGGCTTGGCCTTGGACCACCCACCTCTCAGTGCAGTGACCCCTGCAGGAAGAACGAGGTGAAGAGTATGCAACCTGGAGATGTGTGCTGCTGGATCTGTATCCCCTGTCAGCCCTACCAGTACCTGCAGGATGAGTTCACTTGTGCTGACTGCAGCTTTGGTCAGTGGCCCCTGGCTAATTTGACTGGCTGCTATGATCTACCTGAAGAATACATCCGATGGGAAGATGCCTGGGCCATTGGGCCTGTCACCATCTCCTGCCTTGGTATACTGTGTACTCTGTCAGTAGTGGGCCTGTTCTTCAAGCACAATGAGACGCCTGTGGTTAAAGCAAGTGGACGTGAACTGTCCTACATCCTTTTGTTGGGAGTGCTCATGTGCTACCTCATGACCTTCATCTACATTGCCAAACCTTCCACTGCTGTTTGCACCCTACGGCGACTAGGCCTGGGCACCTCATTCGCAGTGTGTTACTCAGCTCTTCTAACCAAGACCAACCGCATCGCTCGTATCTTCAGCGGTGTGAAGGATGGAGCCCAGCGGCCACGCTTCATCAGCCCCGCCTCCCAGGTAGCGATCTGTGGCGCTCTTATCTCCTGCCAACTGCTAGTGGCCCTTATCTGGCTGCTGGTGGAGGTGCCAGGGGTTCGGAAGGAGGTGAGCCCAGAGAGGAGAGACGTGGTCACCCTCAAGTGCAACAGCAGGGACTCCAGCATGCTCATGTCCCTCACCTACAACTGCATCCTCATCATCCTCTGCACTGTTTATGCCTTCAAGACAAGAAAGTGCCCAGAAAACTTCAACGAGGCCAAGTTCATAGGGTTCACCATGTACACCACCTGCATCATCTGGCTCGCTTTCCAGCCCATCTTCTACGTCACTGCCAGCGACTACAGGGTAACAATCTATGAAAATGTTTTTATAAAGTCAACTGAGTATTTATAATGAATATTTCTAGAACCTTCTTAAGCCCACTGTTGTGGAATAATGTAAACGTCTATAAATGATCCCTAGTATTTATCATTCCTAAAGAAGAAGGTGTCACTTTCAGATTCCATTTGATCACCTTCACCCAGACCCATGAAAGAGCGAGCTTTCTTTTCATGTGGTTTGAAGGATCTTTCAAGACAAGAACAAAGACTCTGGAGACAGATCAGGCCAGAATATACAGATAGAAATAGTTAATAGTCAAACTGATTCATTGAGTCATGGCATTACTAAATGCTTAATGACACATTTCAGGTGCAAAAGATGAATTCTTCAGATTTATTACAGCTTTTGTTATTGGATACCAAGACTAAATCACAACTGGCCCTATATAATCTCACCAAGTAGTATCATAACATGCAGTAAAAATAATCATAAGCAGAGGCATTTAGTGGCACTGCCTCCCTAATAGTCAAATAAATATGACATGTCTGCTGCAGAGTTGTCACAAGGGGATAAAGTTTTGCAGCCTTTACACAAATAGCTAAAGGCTGAATTTACCCTGCATAACAAAAATGACAATGAATGGGCTGAATATTCATAACTATTACTGGACTTGTCTGACATACTGCAACAGGCAAAAAATATTGAATATATATTTTAGTTTTCCCAAGTAGAAAATGTATAGCTGCAAAGATGAATTAATCTATTTCTCTATGCAGTGTAGAGTAACAAAAATAAGACAAAACAACGGGAACAAATCTGACAAAACATGTAAGTTATGAGTGCTCGTGCCTTAGGCAGACTCAAGGGTACTGCCACAGCATTTGGTCAGCAACAAGGCCTTTGTTGTACAAACAGATGGGGGGAGGTCTAGGATCACACAAGCTCTGTATCATCATGAGGTACCTTAGGCTTTTCATGTCTGTAGTGATCAGTCTTCCTGGTACCCAAACCGTGAACCTAAAACCTCTGCCTTTCCTGATCCCCAGTGGGATATATGAGACCAGCTGAACATTGTAGAGTATAAGGCTTCACACTGAAGAGGCAGCACAGTAATTGAAAGAATGAGAGGTTTGGCACTGCAACAGAGACCTTGATGCTTTGGTTCTGTGTGACACCAATAATAATGGCTGTGGGTTCAGTTGCCACATTTCAAATTAGGGTTGGATAGCACAGAAATATTCTAATGAGAGACTAGCCTTGTTGCCCAGTGAATCATGATGAACTCAAGGTTTCACAGATGGATACAGATATTCTCCTATTCTCAGAAACCTTTACGTGTAAATTATTTTAAATCTCTTTCTCCTGTACATTTAATTCCTCTTATTTAAGTCAACATTATCACTATAGTGAATGTCTGAAGTATGTCCACTATATAAGGGTTAATTATACATGCACCCATTATTTCTCTACATAGATTTTCAAAAGATAAATAGTAAAATACTGAATCATAAAAGACACCAAAGGTTTAAACATACTTGATATTATGCATATCCAAATTAAAATGCAAATATATGTTTAAAAAATAATATTAATATATGAATATAAATATAAAAATAGATTTTACAAGGTGCTCAGCATTTAATATAGTGAAAAGTGCAATCTCATTCTCTTTGCAGTCAGTTTTAAAGTAAAAACACAATAGGGTTCACACAGCGCCACAGCATGTCCTATTAATACTTTCTAATTATTTGTATAAGGAATTGTTAAATTTAAATAACTGCTAGAAAGACATCTTTGTGGCTGAAAGAGATAAGGGGATGCAGAGAAATGACAAGTAAAGTAATATTAGCTCCAGTCTTGGCGGTGTTTCCACCAAGTATTTTTGTAGTCTGAAGCTTAAATGTTTTAGGACTTCTCATATTTCTGCAGTGTTGTTGTTGTGCGGTATGTTTAGGAGGGATTTCACTTCATGCTGTGGTTCTGCAAATAGAAGTTCCTGGACTGCAGGGGTAACCAGTGGGGTGGGAAGGGATTGTGCTCAGAAAGATGACCCCAGCAGTCAGCTCACATTAGCAACTGAAATATGACTAACAAGGCCCTGACTTTCCAGGACAGCCAGCTGTGCTTATTCCACATTCTTCTTCTTGCCCTCATATTCATGCACATACAGATACACAATTAGAATTGCTAACATTCATAATTCACACACACATACATAATTGGAAATGGAAATGGAAATGTGACTAATAATGCGAGAATAACAACTGTAAAAATCGCTGCAGGATATGACTGCAGGACACAGCAACTTAGGGGAAAATTAGGACCAATCCTCTAAATGAAGCAAATGTATTAGTGACTAAATACAGTTAAAGCTCATAATCACACATAATCACCTGTGTTGGGCACACGGTAGCTCACCAGGTAGAGCATGAGCAGAGACTGATTCCAAAGTGCAGCCCTTTGCTGTCATCCTCTCGCCCCACTTCTGTCTATCTTACTGTCAAAATAAAGGCATGAAAAAGCCCCAAAAGTCTAGATAAAAAAAATCATAATTAAAAATAATCATCAGTGTTCATTATTAAACTGAAGGGGAAAAAAACTGTTTTTGTTTATCATAAATGTGTTTTGACAAAACTGCATTCACGTAATAAAAAAAATTAAAGTAGCAGTTAAGAGAAACTAGTGAATACAGTATGTATTTGACAGAGAAGCCATTATTGGTTTTGGAAGTGATTTTTGGAAAAATAAAAGGGAAATGAACGGACTAGTTCCATAATTTGGGCATAATCACAAAAGGGGCAAGAGGGAATTTCACTGATTGGATTAAAGATTTGGGAGTAACCTGAGCAGGAAACAAATAAAACTGTGAGTGAATTGATTGGATCAAAGGCTGTAGTGAAGCAACAGGTGTGTGTGTGTGTGTGTGTGTGTGTGTGTGTGTGTGTGTGTGTGTGTGTGTGTGTGTGTGTGTGTGTGTGGGTGTGTGTGTGTGTGTGTGTGTGTGTGCGTGCGTGCGTGTGTGTGAGGAGTGGCCTTTGAACAAACTTCATTAGTCCTTTTGAAGACAAAAGTCCACACAGATATATTGATCATTACACACTCTCTCCTCACAGGTGCAGACCACCACCATGTGCATCTCTGTCAGTCTGAGCGGTTCGGTGGTTCTCGGCTGCCTTTTTGCTCCCAAGGTTCACATCATCCTGTTTCAGCCCCAGAAAAATGTGACCTCGCTCAGAGTCACAACCAACCGCTTCAGTGCCACAGTTTCTGCTTCTGCCTCTGCTCCCAGCTCCAGTTACTCTAAAGGTACAAGTATCCGCTGTATCTGGTACTCATTGCTCTATCTAGTACTGTGCATACTAAAGAAACACCAGCACAATTTCAGCTGCAACCTCATACCTTGCAACAGTTTAGGTTTCCAAAATAGGATATAAGTAATAGCAGTGCAATCAACAAGAGAACTGCAACCTGACTTTTATGGAACACATGCAATATTTTGTAAAACACCACCAAAAGTTGGTGTACAGAATTGCTACATGTTGCATGTGCTTCACAGATTTTTAGATGTTATTTAACAAAACAGGACGATAAGCACTGAAACCTGAGAATTCAAATAAGGTAATCTTGAAAGTTTTTGTAGCTTTGTTTTCCGTGGTTTTGCATCAGCGTGGCTAAGCAATTAAAATCCAGAAATTACATTTCTTTTCCTCTTGGATAAGAGCCAGTCTTATCTGATGTCTATTAATAAACCAGTGGACTAATTCATTGTACAAACTTCATAAATAAACACAGACACATAGTTTACATAGTTCATACAAAGTATAACTTTTACTTTTAGTCCACACTACAGCTGTGCCTTTAAAGGCTTTACACTAGTTTAACAGTATATAAATATATATAGTGGATTATTGTTACTGATGCATTCAGGTGTAAATAGCAGTTTACTGTTATAGCTAGTCAAGCTGGAGCTAAATGTAACAGCATTATATACGGGTAAGTAATTTATTCTGTAACAATGCATGATATTTTATGAGCTGATTGTATGTTTTGTGTGAGTCCAACAAAGTAGCTTTTCAAATACAATACATTTGTAGTAATAGGTAGAGTAAAAGTATAAGGTAACACTCAAGTAATATAGAGGTATGTGCAATATCTGAGTGAATGCAGTTACTAGTTGCTTTCCTCCACTGCTGAGAGCAACTACTGCAAACTGACATTTTTATAATTGTGGAAGAAATTGACCGTAACAAGCCCATGACTGTCTATTTCCATAATTCTGCTTACAGCTTTTATCTCCGGTTTACAGTTTTGTTTCCTGTCGCTGTTTTTATTCTCCCAGGATCAGCCTCTAACTATGTGCCAGCAGTTTGTAACGGCCGCGAGGTGGTGGACTCTACAACGTCCTCTTTGTGAAAAAAGGTTCCTCTCTAAGCACAAGAGACCGTCCCATCATCAGTCATCCCTCCATTGAACAAGGCTGTGTTTGACGGAGTCCCCCCATGCCATCCAACATGCTGCAGAGAGATAACTCTGGCTGGGTCGACTGACTGACAGTGGCAAGGGTAACTAACTGTGAAAGCTAAATGATGTTCCTACAGCGAGCAGTATGTATCAATTGTAAAGCCTTTTTGTATAGATTTAATATGCTGTGATCTCCTTGGTTTACAGATAGATGTGATTAAATGCACCGTGCCTTGTCCTAAAAAGTCTTGTTGTCAAATGGGTGCTTGTGAAGCAATAGTGTTATACAAAACAAAAGGCTGTTCTTATTGTGTCCTTACAGTGCTGTGAATATATCCAAATGTTGTAGACATTAACAAAAAAAAAAAAATGCTATGAAATAAATTTAGCCCTTCTGTTAAACAAAATATGTGACTAATTATAGTGAACGTGATGAAAACTAGGCAACTAGACAATATAAAGGACATGTGTTAATGTAGACTGGTATAACAGTGTGTGCTTTCCTGTAATTTATGTAAATAAAATGTTTTGTAATATTAAAAGATTAAATACCACTGTGTTTGGGTTCACACAATTTATGACACCATTCAAACTAAATGCAGCTATTCAGAGTCAATAACAATGAGCTTTTTTCACACAGGATTGTTTTTCTCTTCAAAACCAAATTAACTTACTTTTAAATGTCTGTCATTTTAATTGAATAGAACTTATTGGATTGTTTCCTCTTATTTTACTAAAGGTAAAAAAAAAACAGTTTGACAAGATTTTTTTTTAAACAGATGCAGCATGAGTGTTAGTTCTGCTCTAATACCAATGCGTGTATTTGGTGCTCAAATCTCTACGGTATAACTATTGCTGTGACTACTAGTTAAGTATGTGCAATTATAAATGTACAGTGCCTATAAAATGTATTCACCCAAGTTGGAGCTGTTGATCTTTTATACTGATTGGAGTTTCCTGGTATTAAATTGTAATAACCTATCCATGAACAACCCACGCACTGTCTGCCTCGTCTGTTTTCATAGGTCAAATGTACACTAAGTAAACCTGCTACCCTTCTAAACGTGACTTTAATTACACAATGAAATGTCATTGTCAACTTAATTCCAGTGGAATGGATGGCAGAAACAGTATTCCCTCCCAACATTTATGTGCAAATAATTAAATGACTATGAGTAACAAAACACAATTATGTACCAGTGAAAAGGACAATAACACCTCAAACAAAGAGGACACCTGCAGGAAAACTGAAGAAAGTGCAAATAATAAAACTAAACAGGTTTATCTCTGTAACGTTGAAACGACTACAGCAATTGTCGCCTCTAACATAACATCGTTAATCAGATAAAGGCTCATGTTCCCCAGGGTTATTCTGATGAATCACTCTTTTGAATGTAATGAAACTATTTCAGCACACTTGTGCTAATATAAGTGTAATACATTGATAGCTTCAGTCAAATAATGTAATATACCTGACTGATCCGACTGACTACTCTGGCTATATGTCTTTAATTTGCTAATGTTAATATTCTTTTGTCAATTAAATTTTCAGGCTATAAAAGGATTCTGTGGGACATCTACCGACAGAGATAAATTATTCTCCTGTAGAGTTAATTGCAATTTTATATTTGCCTCTGACAGGCCGGCGATACAGTTACCATGACGATGGGTGAAGCCCAAATTTAACTCATTAATATTGCTTCTTAAGCAGCCCCTAATGATTTAAAAAAAAGTGATGTTAACTTTTCCCAGCAGACACTTCAACTGTCCTCAGAATTTTGTTAAATCATAAGACACTAAGGGAAGAGGAGAATAGTCTTGGTCATCTCAGATCCAGATGTACCGACTCCTACGATACAGCCTCTTCTCAAAAACAAAATCACAGGAGAGACTCAGAGCAAACACCCATCACTCTTCGTGATAAACAAAAGCATGACACGTAGGCAGTTTTTAAACCTTTAATTTACAAAATAAGACACTTAACGTAAAGTCCACTATTCGGTTATCTTGGCTTCCTCTGGGTTAGGAGGTTTCCTTTTAAGAGGAATAACATAGATCCCATTCTTGGCCTCTTTTATTCTCCACCATCGGCCCAGCCTGCAGAAAAACAAACAAAATTAGAATCAGAGGGTAATCGATACAAACAGACAACATCAACCTCTGGATAGAATTTAACACAAAATCTAAAAACAGAAAAAAAAAAAAAAAAAAAGGATAAAAGCTTCTTTTATGCTCCACTCTCTGATCCACCAACAAACAACAGCTCTAAGATTATCTGTATCTAACTGAACCTCGTCTAAAACCTTTTTGTTTCCATGTCTCAAAATTGTAAATACAAGTTAATATTTCAAATGTTTTGAGTAGGATCATAAAATATACAAACTGATCTGATCACAGAAACTATATTGAACTGTCATGTTTGGACCTAGCCCCAAGTCTGATCTGACAATACTGGTTGATGAAATTTCTATTAAAGAAGTTCCTGGAAAATACTAGAGTCACTCCAGCCTTCAGGTTAAGTCTGTCAGCTCTGATTGTAATCAAGAGTGCTTTTATTAACTTTAGACAGCAGGAAACCCCTCATAACAACCTAAATATGCAATTCAGATTCTAAACACATTTATAGTTTGTCAGTAGGGATGCACCGATTTATTGGCCGAACATCTATATTGGCTGATATTCGCCTTGTTGACGGACATCAGCCAATCTGCAAATAATATGGCATTCACTGATGTCAGTGGCTAATGTTTCTGTTGTGTCGCATTTATTTTGCGCTGGTTAAATGTTTTGTTTCCAACTCTAATATTGGAGAAATAATCACTTCTGTTTTCCAGCACAGGCACAAATTGCACGCCAACACCGATGTGCTCCATGCAGCTGCACGGACACTGAGCAGCTGTTCAGCTCCGCATCTCACATCTTGGATGAGAAGAGACACACACTGAGCTGCAACAAGACACTTATCTTTATAGATTTTTTGTTTCCTTGGCACAAATAGGCGAATAAATAATATAAAAGAACAGCAGTATTGGCAGTTGGCCAAATTGTTATCTTAAACATCGGTATTGGCCCAGAATCAGTGCCAGGTCAGGTCATAAAATATAGCTACATACAATATAACCACCTGTCTGGTAACAGGTGACCGACGAGTTCTGCACCACAACCCTGTGGCATGAATGGCAAAAGAGTATTCTATACTATATACTATTCTTCATCTAGTCTGCAACTTACTGTCCTGGTGACGTTATCTCATATATTCCGCAGTGTAAATAACTCTTCTTGAGTTTCTTTCAATCAACTGATGTCATCTCAAGATACTATCATGACTTTCAAGAAAACTCAAAAGTGAGGTGGCGGTCTCTTGTATTTTGGCATGTGACAGAGGCTGAGAGATGGATTAACACTGCCATCTGGTGGCAGGCTTTTCATTCAATGAACATGAACCGGCACTGACATTTAGTAGTTGACATGAACTCTACATGCAGTTTCTATGGAAACATGATCATTAGTTCAGTTACCTGTGCTCCTGTCCGACTCCTGCCACCATAAACTGACCGGAGCTCGAAAACTTCAGACTGTTGACAAACCCGCACTGGCAGAAAAAAAACAGAGTAAGACAAAATAAGGCATCCATCGGGGTAGCTGTAAATAATGTGTATACTGTAAGCATATACTTATTAGCTTAACACACATCTTATCCAAATGTTTTTCAAAAGAAAGGAGGAAGTAAGAGCTTACCACTGGTATGCTGAATAGAGGCTCCAGCCCACGGTAATACTGGCCACACTTCCACAGCTGCACCTGTGAGTTGTGTGAACCTGTACAGGAGAACCACTGTCACTTTAAATCTTCAACACAGCTTAGCTTCACATAACCGCATCAAGTTCTATCTCATGAGTATGTAGGACACTTAATCAGGACCACGTCTATTGATTAAAATCCGCATTCGTACCAGACAACTGTGAAAACAATGCACATAATAAAGTGTGAGTGTGTGTGTGTTAGTAAGAAGCCGGTAGAGAGGACTCTCACAGCCAGAGGCACCTGAGGCGACGGTATCAGAGTTCTGAAGCGCCGCTACGGAAGACACCCAATGAGGCTGCTCAATCCCTGCATCGCCATGGCAACCGTGCGCCTGCTTCACTGTGCTGAGAGGCTTCTTCTTGTTGACACTCCAAAGAGACACGGAGCTGAGGTCGTTCAGAAAATCGAGAGAGGGCAAGAGAAACAGAAACATGACTGGATCAGTTAACGCGATCACATCCTGGAACAGAACTGTAATCGAGACAATATAACTGTAAAAGCTCCGACGGTCTTACCCATCATCAGCTCCTGTTATCATATGCTCCTCGTTTATGAGCTGGATACAATCAATGGAACCCCTGTAGGAAGACAGAATAATGACAAAATAACAGATATTCTTTATGTATGTTCCGAAGAACTTCATGAACATTAAAGATTGAATCATTTGTTCAAAAACTCCCAAGATTGTGGGATTATTTCTCAATCTGGAGACTTTTTCTATACTATGTAATCTGCCACCAGCAGTTAGTTTCAGTGTGTATGGTTGCTAGTAGCAAGCACTACTGTCACAGTTCTGTAGCAGAAGTTAACAGTTTAACTGAATTTAGCTGCGTCCTCATCACACATTCATTCACTTGTACTATATAATAATGTCATGCAATAATAAAATAGAAGAAAACTCAATAGTTTATTCTTAAGTAGTCAGATTATAGCCGCTTTGTGACTGATTAATGTCCTGCTAACAAAGTTACCACTATACTAGCTGTTAGGAGCTAATGTGTTTCTAATATAACATTGTTACTGCTGGGCTAACCGTACCCTTTTGTGACTTCAGTATTCTAGACCAATTTTTCCAATACTTTTGGTGTAAGTCTTGCTTGTTCCCCCCATCCTCAACTTTTAAAGCTGTATTCACTATTGCTCACAGTAAAATCTCACACTCATGTGCGTTTGGCTCACAAACAAACAGGATGTCATATTTCCATTGTTTGAGGTTCAACTGGCACTCTTAATTATGTCATCTTGTTGCTCTTTCTGATAACTGGCTTCACCTATTGCTCATCTCCTGAACCAACTTCTTACAACTGCATATCAGTAGTGGATGGAAATTGTTCAGAAGTTAATTCTTAGACTATTTAGAGCATTAATCACTTACAATCCATGACATGCATAAATAAATTCACTATTTAGCATATAAATTACAACAAACCTCTATGCTGAACATATAAAAGCATTAAGGACGACAAGACCACTGAACATACAGCAATGATTTGGTTATATTACAATCAATAAACCTGCGCTGATCGTACATTATCTCACTATTCTTTGATTGTTTTAAACCCTTCATCGCTAACTTAAAAGTAAAAAAAAAATGTTTTTAAATTCTTTAAAAGTTATATTTCCTTACTTGACCATTTTAAAATGTGTCAATTAATTAGCGAGCCAACAGCAAGACAAGAGAAAAGAGACTCACTCGTGGCCGTGGAACACCAGCTGAGATTCCTCGGCTATCTTCCACACCCTCACTGATCGGTCCCTTCCTCCTGCGGTCACACAGCGCTCACGGCTCAGGCTGTCCAGTCCTGTGATGGCGTCCTGATGCCCAAAGCTAAAGCGAGTCACAATCACAGTTAAAGTCACACGTTCAAGAGAAATGCGAGCGCTTGGCAGTGAGATGAATAATTTTCCGATTGATCACTCACAGAGTTTCCACATATGCATTCTCGTCCACATTCCACACCTTTATGGAGCGATCATGAGAGGCGCTGTACAGATCATGAGTGCCCTTCCTGAATGAAAGACCCTGAGAAGGACAAGACATTTAAATTATAATCACAAGCGGACCTCAGAGCTACAGATTAAAAAAAAAAAAAAAAAAAAAAAAAAAAGAGTGTGAACGCACCGACACGGGCCCTTTGTGTCCTGTGAATTTATATAGGTGTTTACATGTTTCTCCCTCCCAGATCATGATCAGTTTGTTCATGTCTCCAGTAGCCTAAACAGATGTTGAGAAAAAGACTTCTGTTATAACATGAATTTGTTGGTTTCCCAAAACTGGCAAAAACAAGTTGTGCTAAGAGAATTACTCACCAAGTATTTCCCATCTGACGATACTGATATACACAGGATGTGGGCTGTATGTCCAACATGGCGGTCCTCCGTGCCTTTCCTTCCACCAGGTATTGTGTGCAGTTTCTTCCCACTCTCAACATCCCCTGAAGAGATAAGAAAAACACACGGACTCAAGACCACAAGAAAAAATATTCATTCTATTTCAGATTGTTTGCTTCAGTTTTCAAGCCTAAGGATCAGAACAAAGATTGGTCAGGATTTTAATGTATACTGACATTTAATGATGGAGCAGTCTTTGGCAGCAGAAAAGATGTACTTGTCATCAGAGGTGATGACCAGACAGGTGATTGGAAGTTTGTGTCCCCTTAACACTCTGATCTCTGAAGCGTCTGGCGGCATGAGCTAAAATTAAACAAAAGTCAGCATATTAGATAGATAGGAGAGATACAGTGGAGACTGGAGGGATATAAAATTCCCCATACTTACATCTTTGGCAATAAGTCGCTGAAGCTTTCCTTTTTGTTCAAGCTGAGGGGAAATCACATACACAGCACGATCAATAACATAGAACAGTGCATGGCAATTGATCCAACATATATTAAAAAAAAAAAGAAAAAAAAGACTGTGTCCAAGATTGAGGACATGGGTATGGTTTAAGGGATTTTTCTTTTCTTTTTGAGGTGGCAGTTAGTGATGCTCATTCAAAGCAGACAACTCAATGAAGTATCGAAAGTACTGCAGGAAGTTTTCTTGGCTAGCTTTGCAAAAAAAAATGTGACCACCCCAAACAAGGTGTCCATATGTTATGTCATACTAATACGGAATATTCTGGACAGAAGATTTTGCCCTTTTTTGAACCATTTGAACACAAATGCTTCATAGTGATTCAGTGTTTCAGGAAGCTTCGTTTCCCACCAGTCACAGAGAAAAAGGCAGCCTACACAAAGCTTCAGAAGTGCACATCAGGGGAGAACAAAGTCTGTACGTAAAACATATTGCTGTAAACACTAACAAATGAATGAACCAGATGAGCATATAAACATTTCTATCTGGTCAAAGTTCACCTATGTATGTCATCTGTTCAATAAGATGGCAGTGTTTAGTGTGGTTCAATAATCAAACTGAAGCCACACTGTAACTAAACTGTAAAACCATAGTGGGACAGTAACAGGAATATGAAAGTGAGGGGTGAGTGGCAGTTACACCTTTTAATACAGAAGACACTCTTACCACTTCTTCTTGAAGTCTTCCAGCAATCAGATCAGTCTCAAATGAATCATCTTCTGCTTTCTTTTCCTCTGGTGAGATCAGATCATACAGTTAATAAAAACACACAGACTACAATGATAGACCTCTATGCCATATACCACACGGATAACACAAGCTTACCTTCTTCCTTCAGCTGGTCGAGGTAAACTTTGGCTAATCTAAGTTTCTTCTCCTGCGGCGTTTCCTCATACTCATTCTCTTCCTTGGACTGCCTTTTCTTGGGCACTACAGGACTGTGCAACAGGAAAAGAAAAGCACATACAACTGGTGAGTAATGTCTGCGCTTTAAATCAGCAGTTCACAACCCAACGTGAGCACATGAGAAACGAACCTCTCTGTGTCGGAGTCGCTGGAAATCTCTTCGTTGTATTTGGAGGTGACTTTCTTCACTCGTACTTTGCTCTTCCCACCCGAGTCCCCATCACCCTGCACAGTAGAAAACACACCCCGTTTGTATGAATGACACACAGTGAGGTTGAAGTGTTGTCAGAGGTGTTTCCACAGCAGGTTAGGTCAGGTAAGTGGCACGAGTAAACCTGCTGGTTAGCTCACGTGCTAACAGTCCAGCTCACTTACCTTTCGTTTCGGAGCTTCTGTATTTTTCCCCTTTTTGACAAATTTGGGGTTTTGTTTGGTCTTTATAAAAAATGACGAAGACATGGTGAAACGCGACAAGCAGCGTTTCGAAAGTGAACGATAGCTGTAGACGGAGGTAAAGACACAACTTTCTGAAGCATCAAATCAATACTGGACCCACATGGGTGCACTGCAACCAAACTATAATGCAGGAGTCAGGGCTGAAGTCGGACGCCGATTGGCTGATCCGTTCAGTTGCGCCTACATGTCCCGCCTCTTGATAGACATCTGAATTTCCATTGGTTAGATTGAGAATTTGGATGAGCAGGAAACTGTACTGGGGCAAAATACTTCCCTCGGGGAATAAGTTTTCGCAGCTTTGTTCCGCACATAATTGTAAAAATATAAATTTCACAACACCGCACTCTTATACACATGTGTATCATACACATTAAAAGATAAATATAGGAGCATTATTTCACAGTTGTTTAAGCGGAAACGTCTTGCGCGGCTGTTAAAAATAAGCAGTAATTGTATCAGGATCTATGTACTGCACTACTGCAGTAGTACTACTACTTCCTCTACTACGCAGTATTTCCATTTACTGCGCTGTCTCTGTCCTCAGTGAGTGTGGTCACAGTTGATCCCTGAAATCGGGCTGAACGGCCAGGTGAGCCTCCTCAGAACCATCTACCATTACAGATCACATGTTTTTGATATTGTATTGGAAGGAGTAGTGATCACTGAGTGGCTCCAGCTGGAGGCGATCTGGTGGCTAGTAGGAGGGGTTGAGGGCAGGGGGAGGTGGAGGTGGAAGGGGGGGTGGATGTAACGTAAACTAAGTTTTCATTATTGTCTTGCATGAATGAGTTTAAAATGAACAGACCGTGTTGAGCAACTGGAAAAGTTTGAATCAAACTTTCACTCCATCTCGTGCAACAAAAGCAATACTTGATGTGCCAACTGATCAAATCTGCACTCTCCTCAGATTTTAGTTTTTTTTACTCCCATGCCACCCAAGAGAGACGCAGGAGCGACTCCAACACAACCTCCAGTGAAGATGATAAAAATCGGCACTGATGCACAGGAGTTTGGCTGTGATCCAATGGAGGATAAGTACAGGCTGAATGAAGAGTCCAACTACTCACCTTTCCCCAACAATGAGGTGGGAGATTTTGCCATTTAATTGTGCATAGAAAACAACCGTTGTTTGCCTTTCTACACATAGACATTGTGTTTCTCATTTGGCAGCATGAAAACATTGAATTTGATGAAGACAATGTTGAAAGTCCAGGCATCAGAACAGACACCATCAGTCTCCTCATGAAGATAGAGCAACTGCAAGCACAACTCAAATATGAACGCAGATGTAGAATTTTGGCTGAGAGAGAGTTGAGAGAGCTGAAAGGTGGGTGGAAAAAGATGACTAATTTATGAGTTAATATGCTAAAATGAAATAAAAAATGACATGACTTGGCAGCCTAGTTACTGTATGACTCACTGTAATCACAGCCAGGGCAGGGGTACAGTTGAGGTCATGTTCAATGTCATATATTTGTATATTTGGAGGTTTAATAATACAAAGAGGAGTTTATGGCTGAATGATAATAATTAAAGGTAATACATTATTTTTGTGTCCGTAGTTTCTTAATAATTTGCGAGAAAGTTAGGGTAGTCATAATTAATCAATGTGTAACCTAAAGAGTCTTTTAGTCAGTTCAAAGCAGTTCAGCTGACGAAGCAATTTACAAATACAATTTAACATATTTTGAGAATTAAGTCTCTAGTAATTGATCAAATTAACATTCACCTGTATAAATTAAGCCTTTCTTCCGAAGCCGTTCCTATTTCCTTACATTTAGTGCCAGATTGCATAATTTATTTCAACTTTCTAGGTAATTATAAGAAAATTACAGAAAAAAGCATTACCAAATTAAATAAAAGGGATTTATTATTCTTTACACACCTATGAACAAGTGTAGAAAAAGCTTTGAAATAACATTTAGATCCCAATGTAGGAAAATAGTAGTTTTTTAGGTGGAAAGGCTTCTGCTAAAATCCTGGCTAAGGCATCATGCCATCTAATAATTTGAATTACTCTATGAATAAACCGGCTCTAAGTGACTTGGCACTTTTTTTTTTTAACAGAGATGAACACACTCATGATGCAGATGAGGCACACAGCACATGAGCTACGAGTCACTCTGGATCATGTTCTCCAAGGAGGCGATGCAGGAGTTGCACCACAAAACTCTCAGGATGAAACCATCTCTTTCTTGAATGAGCCTGAGGCAGAGATGAGAGCGGTTCATAATATCCCAGAGGTCAGTGCTCATACACCCCGTGCCTTGTAATAACAGCACGATTCTGGGAATATTTTTCAGTTCACTTACATTTTGTTTTCATAAGAGAACTGGTTTTATGTAAGTGCTCCTATTTTAAAGTTGTAATGGTTACAAAACGGTTGGTGTCAGATTCTGTCATTAATGAATCTTTATGTGTTTGTAACATTTTTCCTTTTTTGACATCAGGATGATGACAACTTCTTGTACCTGTCAGAGAATCTTCGAGTACCGAAAAATCTTTATGAGCGCATTGCAGAGATTGGCGACTACAAGAAGTACACGTCAGCACTGCTGATGATACTTTTTGACAGAGAAACATTGGCCACACACTCTCTGCAGGGCCGGAGGAACACCTTCACTGGAGAAGATTGCCACAAGCCTCAACTCCCACCAGAGATCTTGAGAAGTATAATCGGTAAGATAAAGAACATTCAGTATCATAGAATTTTAAGCACGCAGACCTTGTTTGTAGATGCTCTTTATGTATGAATTCAAATCTTTATTGTGTTTCCTCTTTCAGATCATGTGGCAGTCAAGTTCGGCGTTGATAGCAGCCAAATAAAAACTGCAATCCGGACAAAGTTGAATAATGAAGACAAACTATTAAAGAAGAGACTGGGTTTGGGTAAAGCTGAAAACAAAACTCTTATTGATCAAAGCTTTTGCCCAGATGCCTCACTACTGCCTGAAACTGAATCAATGGGAAATGATTCTCAGTTATAGCCTTTTGAGTTGGTCACCAGTATCACGTCGGATAGAAGTGTGTGTGACAGGTTACCTTTTTTTAAATCCATGTCTAGGTTATCCATATTGAAGTGTAATGCCTAGTGGGTTATTTTTTTAACACTTTTTAGAATTCTTTCTTTTTAACTTTTTTTAACAGCTGTTGTCTGTCGTGTGTTTGAAAGGTGTAAAATTAACCTGGTGACCAAACCAGCCAACATGGAAAAGCACTATGAAATGTCACATGTAATCGTCAGTAATAAAAACTACCAAGTGTTCTTATTTAATTTGAGGTAGTAAATGTGTCTAAATAATAGGTTTGTGAAGTCTGTGTTAATACTGGTTTAACATTTCAATAAGCAGGTGTTTGTGTGTTTGAAAGTAGGACATTTGAAAATGTTTAAAGTAATAGGGATATCATTTGTACCTGGTTGTTCACGATGAATTGTGCATTACACCAAGTGATACTGTGTTGTAGAATAGTTTTTTTTCCCAGTTGCAAAATTGTGTGATAAGTGTGATCTTCCACAACATCGGTTACATCACTGTTTATGCTTAACTACACAAGGGGCCAATAAATATTTCAAACTGATATTCTTCTGTTATCTTAACTTGAACACTGTCTTATTATGTACAGTTTTAGTACAATATGCTCTCATAGGATTACAGTTTTGTTTTCATAGCAACCAACAGATGTCAGCGCTGTGCTTTTTCATACTCTTCTGCAAGCAGTGATCAACTCCCCAAAGAGTACAATTATTGTGAAATGAAGGTTTCTATTTGAAGAAATAGTATTAACTCAGTTTAAAGAAGAAAATACTGTATGTGAATTGGTGAAAGGATTGTACGAATCCAACCAATACATCAATGTCTATATTCTCTCAGAAGCTCTGGAGAGGAGAATAGAGGATTGTGTGTAAAGACAGAGGCATAGTGGACATTGTGTGACAGTCACTGCCACATACTGACTGATGAAAGAATGTGTGTGTATGGGACATGTTTAATGTCAGTGGGTGGCGGTTTGATAGAGTCATCTTGTCTTTAAAGATGTGATTTGAACAATCAGCAATTGCTGGCTCCTCCCCCACCCCCTCTTTCGCCCAAGCCAGCTGTGCTGTTTCAGTGGACACACAGCACATCACCGCTCTCTCCGGTAGTGTCAGCTCTCCCTGGGGATTCATCTTCGTGGTTTATGATCACAGTTTTTTACATAGTTCCTGATAGACCGCTATAAGGTGGACCAGCACTCTTGTGCACATGAAAACAACTCCTGAGCACTGAGTTTGATGCTTCTAAAGAATCAGAGAGGAGTCATCAACATGATTTGGACGTATTCAACTTTACAAGACTCACAGAAAACTTTCTGGAGGAACAACAGCCAATTGTCAACATTTAAGAGTTGCTTGGTAAGTTAGTTTTATGTAGTGGTGTTATAATATTAACTTTTCTTTGATTATCAGTGGAGATGATATAAAGGAATATACATGCTGACAGTATATTTGGTGCATTTGATAAAGAAAAAATACAATAGGCTCTTTCATGTTTTTCCCTATGTAATAATATCACTTAAAATTCCTGAGAGGTTTAGTCCTATAGCATTTCTCTGTTTTATATGTCAGAGGCTGACATTAATATAAACAAGGCCTACAATCAGGCAATCTGGTGACACTTGGACCACTAATGAACTTATAATAATTGGTTAAGTTTAGTCTATAACACAAGAGCCTTAAAACAATGAAGAACACTTAGGAAAGTGGTGGTATTATAAACCAATGATCTAAAAAATATTAAAGATTTCTCATTTTGAAAAAATAAAAAACATTCCTTTTTAGTATTACGGATAATAAACCAGACAAAAAAGTGCTTGTAAGGGTTCCTCCTCAGATCACGCATGGATGGAGCTGACCCTCATATGGTTATTCCTGCTGTACCTGGACAGGATAGGGCCCTATTTTGATGTCTTATGTGGAATATGATATATCTCCCAACTGGACTCTTAATACAATATCAGCACATTTGCAGCAAAATGTTGCTATATATAATAATGGAAATGAACTGAAATTTATCCAACAAGATTTCTGTGTCCTTTCTTCCTCAATGTAATTTGGGCTGTATCTTAGAATAATACAATTCACATGGTCATTTTTAGTATCTTATCTTAAATAATTTACTAACTTTTTTCATTACAATAGCACATTTAGCCACTGAAATTTTTAAGCTATTTAATGTGTAATATTACTTTTTTTTAATTATATAAATGAATTATGCAAATACATTAAAATTGGTTATTAACACAATTATGGTCATCACAAAGAGTGGCATTATGGGGTTTCCCTGTAGTAAAATGCTCTGTAACAGCTTTGTGAGGGATTAAAAGACATCCATAATTCCCTCATCCCCATAATAACGTAGGAAAAGTATTTTTTAATGGTGATTTCTTTCTCCTTAAAAAGTAGCATCAGACAAGAACTACAGCAGACGCAAAATCCACTACATGTTTCTCTGTTGAATTAATAATTTTAGAGAACTAATTAAACTGGAACTGACTAGTGGCTGTCATCCTCATCAGAAGTAAAACGTGGACTTAAAGGATGTAGCATATGCTGTGCTGCAACTGGAACATGATGGAAAACGAGGACACCCTTACATAATATGCATGAGTATGTACATGTACTAGTCCTTCCTGGGGATAAATCTCACTGCAAACGTGGCATGCCAATAGTCCACAGAGAAGATTACAGCAGGGGAGAGCAGCAGTGGATCCCTGGCAGTGAGGAAGCACATGTATTTAGGACACAGCATCCTCCACAGTCATACATTTTTTAACCTGATTATGATTAGAAGCACAAGATGGCAGATACGCATGGGCACGTTAAAGACAATACAGAGAGTCTACAAGCTGTTAAAGCAATAACATGAAGAAGTTTGAAATTCAGTTTGTGCAGTGTGCTACTGACATTTGCTACTTTTTCTTTAATTAAAATGACCAGTTAATACATAATAAATATTCAGTCAATGCTTTCTGGTTTTTTTTTTTTCATAAGAAATTACAGAAGGATCGGGGGTCAAACTTGGTAAGAGGTTTCCTCTTTGATGGTGCAGTGCAGGGTGACACTGAACACATATTAATCAATGCAGCCAGTTCCCTGCAGCTGGGCTAAAACAAGCACACTCATTATCTTTCATTTCAAAAGGATGGGGACGGACGGAGGAGAGACAGGGTGTCCTCCATGAATTATTCCTATTGATCATGAATCTCCTTCGCTAAAAGAGAGAGAGCATCCCTACTTAAATATTCACAGAAATGTGAATGGTTATTGATTAACTTTCCGAAACCTTCAATGTATATATGTACGTGCTCTCTTGGAGGCTACGAGGCTGCAGCAGTGAGGATCTCTTGATGTTTATGTTTATGCTTTTGATATCAGTCACTATAAACAAACAACCTGTTGTATCTTCTGTGGCTTATTCAACCCTGATGACGCCAGAAGCCATAGCGATGTCATCAGGGTTATCTCAGCCAGCATTACAAACTGGATTTCTAGCATTTGAAAGATGCAGACGTTTACCAGGCAGGGAAGAAAGAGAAGCATTATTTGCATTATGGGAAATGTAGGATCCAACATTTTTTTTGACTTAAATCATTTTTAAAGTCCCTTTAACACTACTTCACTCCCTAAAAGAACTAAAACAGGAAATATTGGCCTTACATTCGCCAGGTGGTTTTCATTAAACATGGACACAATCAGTTACTCTGCGGCCACCAAATATTTCATGTAAGTGAAGAGTAGACACAATGTGATGTTGAATAAACAAGGTACCGTTTATTTACTTTTTTGTGGCAGCAAACACAAAACATAGCTTTTCAGTATTTACTATACTGCAGCCTATGGCTAGTAAAATGAACTAATCCTCACACACCAGGAAAGACTCGCTTCCCACAGGTTACCTACAAGCCCACCTTTCTTAAAGGGGAATGCAGTTAGGCTGTGGGTGTGCTAGCCTTAGGTGGGATAAGTATTCAGGTCCATTACTTAAGCAAAAGTACTAATACCCCACTTTGAAAATACTCGACTACAAGTAAAAGTTCTGCATTCTAACCCTCACTAAGGTAAAAGTATTATAGCAAAACGTGCTTAATGTATGAAAAGTAAAACTAGTCATAGTGTAGTAAAATGATCCCTGTCAGTGGTTTACTATCATGTATGATGCTCTGGGATTAATATTACTGCTGCATCAGTGTATATATTGCATTTTATTGCAATGGTGGTTTTAACTAATTTTTACTACTTTATGTAAGGTTGTGTGTTGTAAGGTTGTATGTTGGGTCATTTAATCAACAGCAGTGCATCATATTCTATAAGATCATCATATGTTTGCACTATTTGAGGATTCTGGTGTGTTATTTTACAGAAAATGTAAGTATTGTTATCGAGATATAAATAGTAATTTGTTTTTGCATAAGATCACATTTGTGTCACCAAAAATGAAGTTTGGCCACCAAATTTAGGGGCTTGGTGACTCGTGGGGCCAGTGCTTAAAAATATTAGCCCTGAACATGACTCCAAATTAAAGCTGCATAAATTGGAATCTGTTTGCTAACATGTTTGCCACATCTACTTAAAAGGTGATAATGCTAGTGTTATGTATTGAATCTAGTCTTTATTGGACATGACCCATAAATGTTAAATATCTTGTTTTAATGGACTTCATTTTCTCCAACACAGGAGTGAAGAATATTTACTTTGATGTCCAAAGGATCCTTCTGCCTCATTACTGAACAATGGGGAAGTCAGCATTAGAGATGTGTACTTTCCCTTTGAAACCTTTACAATGAATCATGGAGGAAAACAGTTCATATCTGACCCCTGAGGACAATGACAGCACCACAGTTTGGGCACCAATGCCCTCAGCTCCCAGCAGACAGCTGGGCACCCTTCCCAACCCGCAGACACGGTTCAAGGACCTAACAGGGATATTTTTCATGGTGACCTTGAATGTTCTGGCACTTCTGGCCAACACTGCTGTTCTTGTTGTTGTCATAAAAGCCCCTCATCTCAGGAAATTTGTCTTTGTGTGCCACCTGTGTGCAGTGGACCTGCTGTGTGCCATCTTGCTCATGCCTCTTGGGATTGTGTCCAGCTCTCCATACTTTGCTGGTGTGGTGTTCACTGTACTGGAGTGCCAGGTCTATGTCTTCCTTAATGTAACCCTCATAGCTGCCTCTATCTTAACCATCACAGCCATCAGTGTGGAGCGTTACTACTACATCGTCCACCCCATGCGCTACGAGGTCAAGATGACGCTGAAGCTGACTGCAGCCGTGATAGTGATGGTGTGGGTGGCCTCTGTCGTGCTGGGGCTATCCACTGTGTTTGGGTGGCCGTCCTACGGCAGCCTGAGCTCCATCAGTGCTGCACACTGCTCGCTGCATTGGAGCCACAGTGACCACCGACGAGTCTTCTCTGTGCTCTTTAGTGTCACCTGTTTCTGCTTGCCTGCTGTTGTGATTTTTGCTGTCTACTGTAATGTTTACAAGGTTGCCCGTGTGGCTGCCCGTCAGCATGGACCTCTGCCCTTATGGACAAACAGTCAGCTGAAGCATCGCTCTGACTCGATAAACAGCCAGACTACAATCATCACAACTCGCAATGCCCCACGTAGGATTATGCGTGACCGGCCTTTTGGTGGAGGTAAAGCAGCTCTCACTCTGGTGGTCATTGTTGGCCAGTTTCTGATCTGCTGGCTGCCTTACTTTGCCTTCCACCTCCATCTGACGCTAGACGCGACACCTACGATACCTGAGGACCTGGAGGAGGCAGTCACCTGGCTGGCCTATTCCTCCTTTGCTATTAACCCATTCTTTTATGGGCTTCTTAATCGGCAGATCAGGGAGGAACTTTGTAAGCTGAGGCGCTGCTACTCAGCCCGGCCAGTGGAACTGGCTGTCTCTAGCCATGACGGCTCAGGCCATGAGAACTTCCTGCAGTTCCTCCATAGGACCAGCTGCACAATAGAGACACGTGCAAGCTTCGCCACATCCAGTCCTAGGAGCACACTGGATCAAACTGGGCAGACTGGTTTCAGGATACCAGGACAGATCCCAGAGGAGTTTAGTTAGATATACCTCACTGTTGTGCCACAGTATTTGTAGCCTGCAGGACTATTACAGCTACAACATAAAAAGTGATTCACAGAGGTTAACAGCACTTGACTGTCTGCAATATATCCGTAAACTGTATTTGCATACAGTAAAAGCTAAGATACAGCATCAAGAAATAAACAAACAGTTTTTGTTTTTTAACTTTACGTACTTTTATTTTTTTATTTTGGGATTAAGATTACACTCAGAAACAATCCTGATATAGAAATTTAATGGACATAGTTTCTTAAATTATTGTTACTGTATTTGTGGCTAAACAAGTGTGATAAAGTTACACTTTAATTTGACTAGCTACTAATGCAAAGTTACTGTTTAACTGCAATCAGTACATCTCTTTTGTTATAAAGTAACAAACACAAATATCACATTATACTTGAATAGTAAGTCATGACAATATAATGAGTAGACAGATCTACAGGTTAATACTGTCTCAGAAATTACAGATTTACAATACAGATGAATGTGAGCAGTCATTAATTTTTCAGAAGTTCTTAAGACTACTTATATGAGGTATCAATATAGCAGCAATATTCTTTGTACTTCAAAGTAATTCAATGTTGTCATGTTGTATTTATGTTGCAGGAATTAATGTAAATGTATTTATTGTAATCAAGAGACACATAACTGTTTGTTCAATAATGTATTGTTTCTTATTGCTTTAAATGTGCAAATAAACACTGGTTATTTCAATCATTTATGTAGATCACAGTAAGAAAGCATTTGACAGTGGTAATAATTTTGTATTTTCTGACAGCAGAGAATAATTTATGGCTCTCTGTTCATTTATAATCATTAATCTTACAGAGACAGACTGTAAGAGTGAAGGATCCAGAGTGATCAGACAAATACCGTAAGCGTGAGATCAACAGCCTCCCCATTAAGAGTCCTCATGTGTCCTGTCAAAGTATCCTTGAGCCAAATTTAAATGTGAAATTCCCATCTCTCTCTGGTCACAAAAAAAGCACTAAAAGGAGCCATCTGCACCTTCTCTGTGTATGTTTGACATTTTGTCTCTGAGCTTCGACTCTGGATCCTGACCGTTTGTATGTCTACTTATGAAAAGACTGAGACTGAGCCTAGTTAACACATGATTATATAAGGAGAAAATGCCATTTCATAACAGCTGATGTGGTTGTCTCTAATACCTTCTTCATATGCATAGACTGACAGATTAACAACAAAAATTTATATTTACATACATGTGTCTACAACCTTCCTATTGTGCACATAAAAATATGGTATATATAGTTTGTTCTTGTTAAACTAGGTTAGTCATTAAAATTTTTCACAGATCAGTCAATGAAGACAGACTAAATGTTGATGTGTCTGTGGTGTATATTTTTAGGGAGTGTGCTTTTCCCATACAGATTAGAGAGACATCAGATAGACATGCTGATAAATGGTGATAAATGAAGCGAGAAGCAAGCTGAATTAAATTTTCACTAATCCTGTAAACTGTTTAGAGATAAAAACAGAAATCCGTTAAACAAATGAAAAGATTCCATAGAAAAACATGTACAAAAAACCCTGCTTTGCTGTAGTAGCACTGATGCTGCTTGTCAATGTGAAAAGAAAAGTAACAATAGGAGGAGTGACAGCTATGTAAGGCTGTGTACTGAAAGGCAGGAGAAAAGACATCCTACACGAACTGAAATCCAAAAGCATGAGATAGGGTAATTTATAGACATCCCAATATGTTAAAGGCAAGATAACACTGTGCCATTTTATGGCTGCAGAGCACCAGTGAAACTTTGATAACAGGACAGTGTGGTTATCAATACCAAAAAAAGGAACAAGAACAAGCGTTGATGAACACACATACAGTGTACAGATATGATATAACACTTGAATGGAGGGTTTGTTCCACACAAACAAATACTGTATACATAAAATACACAGAGAAATGTCTCTTTTTCTCATCCCACACATACGTGTCATCATCATCATCATCCTCATCATCATCACCACAATCACAGAAAGAATATTTATTGTGGTGTTTTAAAAAAAGATAATATGATAATATCATTGAAACAGTGTGGCAAAATATTATTTTTCCACCATTAAAGTCACTTAAAAAGGGGGATTTATTGTCATAAAAACACAAAGAACACTTTGTACCCAAGAAGCAGCTAAAAAAGAAATGAAGATATATTCAATCTCATTGATCAGGTTTTTTACCCATTTTTTACTCAGTTTAGTTACCAGTCTTTTGAATATGATATATTGTATATGATGTGAAAAAAAGAAGCAATGAGGTTGATAACAATACAGTTCAAAGAGCTGACTGCCTGTTTCATCAGCCATCTTCCGAAGTGTGTGATTCAGTCCAATGAATATTTGAGCCTGAGCAGTCTTCGTAAGTTGCTAATTAAACTGAAGGACCTCCCACCTCAGTGGCGGCTTTCATTGAATCAAGACAATCGCATCAACTGTGCATCTCTTGTGCAAAGCATATTCATTGTAGATCAAACACAGGCCCACTCTCTATAGAAAATGAGAATCTGTGGCTTGAGCTCAGCTGTGGTTTGCTATTCGACTGTACTTAATGGTACATTTGAAAAGACCTACTGTTCTGTACCTTGTGTTGTCTGTTTACTTTAAATCTGATGAACTTGTTGTTGCACAGGCAGCGGTAATGAGAGAACCACTCCTGAGGAATCAAAGGGAGAAGGTGTGATTGATGGTGCTGTCTGACAGAGTGAACCACATTATTTCATCAGACTTCCCCTCAAATAGTAACAGCATGAGTTTCCTCAGAACTGCATGTACACATGTAACATGACAGCTGCTAAACCGTTAGAGCTCACACAGCACAAGCTCACGTCCAGTGCACTTAGGTCCCCACAAACTGATTAAGGGCTCACAGCCATGCAGGATCAGACAAGTGTGCATATAACAGGCATCTGAAAAACACTCCTTAAAGGAATAGGTCGACATTTTGGTAAATTATTTGCAAATAAGTAATAAGACTAATTTATATTTTATACATTGTACAACCAAATGCTTTCTTTCTTTTCTTTTCTTTTTTTTTAAATGGTTATTTTTGGGGGGGCTTTTTTGCCTTTGACAGGAAATGGGAGGAGAAAGGGCCACAAGTTGGAGTCAACCCTGTGCCACTGCATTATGGACTCACTTAGTACATGCTTACTTAGGCATACACTCTGCCAGGTAAGCTACTAGGGCGCCCACCGTAAAACTTTTCTAATTGTTAGTTCAACGTCAGCACAAACATTTACTGTATGTACTGTAATTTTGTTTTTATTAAAATTTTTCAACATGTAGCAGCAAAAATAATTTAGAAAACGTGTCTGGTTTAAGATGTCAGATAGTATTTGCTGTCATAATATAGAATATGTATTTTTGACAGTATTGTTTTTCAGTCGTGCGCTGCTCTTTTTGGATTCCTGTTGAATTTATACTGATGACAACATTTAATGAAAAAGGGATCCTGTTATATAATGTTAGCTCAAATGCTTCAATGTAAAAGGTTTGCAAAAAAATTAAGAGATAAATTTGAACAAATTACATAAATTCACATTGATAATCCTGCTTAGAAGCAACAACATTTTGAAGCCTCACCTCAGCATCGCCTCATACTGACATGTGGCAGAAAGTCACAGCCACAAAATAATTATTCATGAACCAAACACCAATGTTAACAACTTGGCAGTAAATTTAAGTCGAATCAGTGTTCGTGCTACTGCCAACCAATTAGCTGTTCATATTTTAAGCTTTCTGACTTTAGATTATATTCATTGTCCTCAGAGAAAATGTGAAATACCCAGTTGATATATTAGATGGCACCCACAGCCATGGGAGAACTGATTTAGGTTCTTTTGAGTTCATTCATAAAAAACTTTATTAAATTCATAATGGGATATTAAGACTGAATCACTGGCTGATTCATGCTGCGATACTGGTGTTTGGCATTTAAGGAGGATTTTGCGGAGAGGGGATTTTCCAGTGCTAAAAATAAATATTTCCCCATTTTTTTGGTGTTAGATGGGAAGCACTTAATTAGTGATTGCGTTGTTAATAATCAGTCTGACCTATTGTACTGAAAACAGCTGGACTGACAGGCGCTGAGCAGGAACACTGTCTGACATCCCTCATGCCCCAAATAAGCTGCAGCTGTTGGGAACAGAGTGGTTGGAGTTAAATCAAAGCACTAGTTAAAACAGACACACTCAGTGATAGGAATCTGATTAACATGTGTTTGTGTGTTCTCAACTCTTTGAGCCTGCAAAACTGAGTGTTGTCTGTACATGCAACACATGTCACATATACAAAGAAGAGACTTAATCTGTTATGATTATATATGTTATAAAATGTACAGTTTTCATATGCACATTGCATGTGTATTTTATCTTAAATAACGTGACATTGTATAGATCAGATTCAAATGATAGGTCATGAGAGCGTCACAGGCCACAATGTTATACTGTAGAGAAACTTGTGTTTAGCCTAGTTAAAGGTCCTGAAAACGTATTAGCCAAATCAGCTTTTTAATATAAGTGTCGGGGTCCTACGTGAACACAGCATTTTCTACAAAAGCACAGTAAGTTTGGTTTTATCACATGGCAGATTTTCTGTCTGTGCTGTTTTGTTTTGCTTTGTTTTGTCAGTAGTTTGAAGTATAAACTTCAGTTGGGAAAAGCTGACCAATCAGGATGTAGCCAAAATCTGATGACTTGTAACATTGTTACGCTTCCAGGTCACTGTCAGTCAAATCTGATCAAAAAACACACACAGTCCAGGTGAAGCACATTGCTGAGTTTGCTGAGGGATTTAACATCATATACAAAATATATAAAAGTCATTTTTGAGCTTTATATAACGAACCCGAATCAAGCAATACAAAAAAAATATGATACAAATACTTGTTTTTGTATTCAAATGGACAGGTAAGTTGAAGAATATTGTTGTTTGAAGCTGAGAGACCGAAATCTATTTAGAAAAACTACTACTGCAGAAGAATCTAAAACCTTCGTGTCCACCTAATTATCTTGCAACCTCCCCAAGTACATGTGAGATCTTGGGGGGAAATCAATCACTGGGTACAGTGAGCTGGGAAATGTGTCCTATTCTTTCTTTTTTCCACTCTTTTTCCTCCTTCTCTCTCGGTTACTCATACACTCACACGCTCACTCTCCGCTAACCTCACCTGTGCAGCCACGGACACAAACAAACCCCATCTGGCGAGGTGTGCAGTCCATTAGCATACCGTCGTCTCCGGCACAGACACAGGAAACTCTGTCATCAATAAACTGTGTTCTTTCTCTGTCTTCATCCAGCAGCCAGAAATCATGTTTACCATGGAGACAGTGCAGTGCTCATCGCAGAGTAGCTCACTTATGTTCATCTTTGAACAGATGTACAGTTTGTTATATACTTTGTTTGTTCTGTATAGTATTTAACAGTAATTGTTTGAAAACATTTCCATTTTGTTTTCTTCTTTTAAAATAATGTATAGTTAAAAATTTCGAACTCTTGCATGCATAGCTCTTACGATTAATATAGCATACAATCAGTTCAATCACCTTCATTTTAATTGATTTATTTACGAGGTTCTATGATGTGAGGACATTTCCGCGGAAGGTACTTTGTATATTTATCATCATTAAGTAGTATTATTTTATCAGATTATCACTTTGCCAGCTGCTGTTCTGGGTCTTTATTTGGTGATGATGATGATGATGAGAGCAGTGTGAGATGGCCTTGTGATGAAGGTCTGGTGGGTAGCTGAGAAGAGTCTGATATGGTCTAACTCTGGGGATTCATAGCTGACCTATTAATAGCAGTGAGGATGACTAGTTAATGGGTCCAAAGGTTGACAGAGGTGAAAGGGTTTTCCTTAAAAGCATGTTGCGAAACATGCTTTACACCAGCTAGAGTGTAGAGACCCGAGAAGACTCTTCATACTATCTGGGCCTAGAGGAGGATATTGTGATAACATGCACCATATCTAGTGTTGCTTCCGCATTGTAAGTGATGCTGTTGGTGAACTGCAAAGAGCGAACTAAGGCAGTAAATCATCATCCAAGCTGAGCAAATAACAGGTTTCCATCAAAAGGATGGATTTTGCGTGAGCTATAGGTCATAAAGGTGTATGACAATTAGGGCTTTTATAGCACTTTTCAGTTTTCACCAAAAATAGAAAACACAGTAAACATGTCTCTCTCACACAGTTTTAACTCCTCCATACCTGAAAATGCTGCCACAAGCCTCCTGTTGCTCACAATGTAAATACATTGCCCACAGGAGTTTTTGCCATTAAAAATTAATAGGGAGGCTGCTGTCCTGCTCTCATTGACTGCAGTACAATCTGCGCACTGCACAACTTGTATACGACCAGCCATTATACATCCTCATGTACTGCAAGTCCTCCTGCCACTAATAGTGTTCAAATATCTGACCTAGAAGCTTCTTTTTAAGCAAATACATTTAAATATGAAAATTCGAGCTTACAATTTGTTGTGTGATGTGTTTGCTCAGTGCATACAATTACTACTTTACAAACAGGGCAAAACTTTAATCCCTCTTCTTGGCATCAATTCTTGCAGATTTGAATATATTAATCTTCCAGGAGGTGTTAAAGGTAAAAAAAAGGTTGTGAGTTTTGAACACATGTGCTGCCAGTTGCTGCTGATTGAGACTGCATCCCTGTCCTCTCTCTTTCCCTGTTTTTAACTGTTAGTTAACACAAACCTTCAGGTTTCATTCAGAATTCAAAACCTTTTTCAAAAAACAAAAAAAAAAAAACGCAAACAAACAAATTTTTATATGTTTATGACCATCAGCCGCCCCCTTATTATTACAAGAATATCAGAGCTACAACCCTCCATGAGAATGAATATGATATACTAAAGCATGGCACCAATAGCTCCATCTTGTGGCCTTAAATTACCACCACACTTATTATTACCATTTCTCTTTAACAAAATGTTCCATGGGAACAAAATTCCACATAGCCGTACACATGGGGATGCTGAACAAGTCTGTATCATTTGATACAATTTCACCTGTAGGTGGCAGTGAAAGATTCACAAAGTCAAAAATGACCTGACCTGTAGGTTTGTAATTTCCTAAAGAATGTAGTTTTGTGACCAGTTTCTGAGCCTGAGACAGAATAACATTTAAGCACATATAATAATGGTGGGGCTGTAGTGCAGGGATGGGCTGAGGCTGGAGGTAAGTCACAGGAGTAATATGTGGACTTACTTGTTCGCAGAAAGCAGCATGTAGCATTTTATGTTTTGTACCTTTTGCAAATTTGCCTAACCTAACCTATAAACCTATAAATTTTCACGCCATTTTGGATTTTTGGCCATATTGCATCCAATATTTGACAAATCTGGTACACATTTATATTACTCGTACATATTTAGATTAATTTGAACAAGTTTGTGTTTTTGTAATATTTCCTACCAGGCACATCTGATTGCTCTGCAAGATAAATAATTTCCATGGCAGGCCAGAGGGAGGCAGTATTGTCTTGTCTTAACTTGTCAATCTTTTCTAACACAAAGACACACCTTAAGTGAAAATGAGATTTGGAAATGAAAGAACTCATAGAATCAAAACATACTTGTATCAAATATTCCTGTTGGAAGTCACTTGATGTGCATTGTTTTACTCTATCTTGTTCCCATGCTTGCAGATTTCTCTCATGTTGTCTGTGCATTCATGCAATTGCATTCACAGTGGGGTGTATCAGTGTACACAGAGCCATCTCCATGGTTAGAGTATTTATATCCCTCCCGGTTCTTCCTATCCTCCCACAGCACAGGAAAATGATCTTCACTTGTAAGACCATCTGCAAATACCACCCAGGGCACTGTAATGTTCCAATTATAACCTCACTGCACAGCCAGCTGAGGGGTGCTGTCAGCAGCCCCAGTCTGGGCTGTATACAGGGAAGTGACAGGCACGACTTTGCTCTCTGGATTATTGTTTTCTTCACATGTTTGAATGGACACCATGATGAAAGGAGAAGATTCAGAGGGAGTAGAGATTGACTTGGGAGACTCCAGTGATCCTGATGAATTTGATAATGAGGAGGAACCTCAGATGTTGTGGAGGGCCCCTCCTGCTCTGGAGGAAGAGGAAAATATTCATACATCTACACTAGTGGAAATCAGTGATACCAAGCCCTTGATTAATGTCAGAGACCCCCGAGGTATCAATGACTGTCTCAAGGTATTGCATTCTCATTCAGTGGCTCTACTGAACTGTGTTTTATGGACAATTTGTGCATTTGTCACATGTAGTGAGTTAGCTGATTATAAAATCACACTAAAACATTGGCATGGAGAACCAAGAAACTGCTTGGCGGATTGCACTGCCCTGTGGATGTCATTTATTTTTGAAGATTAATCAATTCCAACAGCAACATGACTTAAAGCTTCACCTCTGTGAACACTTTCTCTTTGTATCTTCAGGTGACGTTTGAGGATGTAATTGCCGAGCCGGTGTCAGTGCGCAGTGGGGACAGAGTGTGGATCTGGAGTAACGCCCTGTTTGAGGTGACTAGGGTTTGGATCTACAGGATAGTCACAGTGCTTCTGGCCATTCCCGTGTCAATTATCTCTGGTCTCCTCTTTGCCATCCTGAGCTGCTTTCACATCTGGTAGGTTTAAACCGTGCCTTCCTGCACACATTAAAAGGACAACATGTCATTTTTTTTCCCTCTCTTGCTGCTGACACTAGATGAAAATGCAATTGATCACCTAAGCACCAAATGTCATGTCCAATAGTTGCCCAGTAGTTAGCAAATCATTCTTCTTCTCGGTACCTTGACTATTTGTACAAAGACACAATAAAATGCTGTCTCGGGTGCTAACACTGACTGCGCTGTTTCACCATAAATGCATTGCAACTTTCTGCACACTAGTGTCCTTTTTATTTATTTTCGCCCATCAAACAGCCTGAGTCCGCCACTGGTCTGGACCAAAGTAGTGGGCCAACTGACCAACAATCATGTTGTGAGCATAGCTAAAAATTACAATCACCATCAGTGTGTGACAGTGATATCTCTGGGTTATCCTGAGTAACTGTACACTGTTTCTGGAAAGTACTAAGCACTACTTTTGATGAGACAGGCTTCTGAGAAATATCCATATTGCAATATTCTCTACCAACATTTAAAGGGGAACTCCAATAATTTTACAAATATAGTTGAGCAATCACGTACTCATCCCAGGGCGTCAAATACTTTCTGTTCATGCCCCTTGGACGCACAAGGTACCCTTTGGCGTCTGTATGAGACCTTTCTGCCAGAAATCCTTTCTAACATTATGAAATGCTTGCAGTTTGGTTAGGTTTATGCATGAAAACGACATGGTTAAGTATGAGAAAAGATCATAGTTTGAAATGAAAGTTTGTTAAAAGACATAAGTGCATGTGCCATGCTGTGGAAAAAGAGGAATTGTGATAACGCTGGAAAGAACCATATCCTAATTTAACCCAAAGTTAAGAAATACTAAAGCCATTAGTATAAATTCCAATTGGTTTTGGGGAAGTAAAATATTTTCAGTCGCATGCTTACACCGCTTGGCTCAGAACCACTGTGAATGAGATATGTCTTTTTTTAATTTGGCTGATTTTCTATGTAATATTTCTGTTTCTGTTTCTATGGCAGGATGGTTGGTCCTTGTGTCCAGTGTATCTCTATTGGCACACGCTGGCTGCAGGATCTATGGAGCATTGTGCTGAGCATCATTGTTCGTCCCTTCTTCTTGAGTGCTGGGAAATGCTGCGGAGGCTTCAGTATACACCTGGCCAAAGAATGAGACTCACACATCCAAACTGGGATTGTTTGTTATGTGCGCACATGCACTGGTATTCTAGTACACTGACCCTAAGTGGGCAGTGCATTTAGATTATTTAATATTTAATTCAAAAATAAAACATACATGAACAAGAACTACATGTTTTCCACAGTTAAGAAGTCCAACAGTATCTGCTGGTCCTTTTTAATGATAATACATGGCATGTGACATTTTAAAACAATAATGGGAACCTGACACAGTGACAAAAAGAATGTGATATCATTTTTCATTTTGACCTCACAGTGTGAAGTAGCTTTTGTGAGACCAAAAAACAAACAAACAAAAAAACCCCAGTGCAAAAGTTTCTTAAAAGACAGTGACTGATTTGAAGAACATGATAATTGTTTAGCATGCAGTACTTTTTCTCACACATAGGCTTACAACTCTGAATGATTTGTAGGTTTTAAAGTAATTTCACTAAATTTGTTGTGCAAATTGAATGTTGTATTATCTTTATGTCATAATGCTTGGGTTTGATTGTATATTTTGCTAATCTTTAAAAGAGTTTATGCTCAAGGAACAAAAATGTACAACTACTATGATCTAAGTTTTGTTACTGATAACTAAAAATATTCAGTTTTGTAGAAAAGAAGAAAATGTATTCTTAAGGGAGGAATGGCAAATAAAGCTATGAATTAAAGAATGTTTCTTACTGAAATAAGATTTTTCCTAAACACAACACAAAACATAATTGTTCTGTTAAATTCAGAGAAGGGGCAGAGGCTTTCAGCATTAATAGATCATCCTACTGACGTGTATATGAGTCAGGAAACGAGATCTATATCCAAAGAACTATGAAGCTATGGCAGCCACTACAACACACTGATTCTCTACCTAAGACTAATCATTGTGATTAAAAGAGATATTTATAATATTATCTGTTACACCACTTTTGCATGGATAATATGGAGGTAAGCAGGACACTGATTTGTATTGTTTTACAATTTAATCACCTTCATATATTTATTCATGTGATTGTTTTAAGCTTGAAAGCAAATGTTCTTGCTAAGTTGTGTATTTAATAACTTTATAACGTTTATATAGGCAACACTGAAATCAGTATACATGATACATGAACTCACCATAGATCACACTTACTGACTATTTATTGAGCAGTCTGGCACGTTCAGTGTGAAATGCAACATGAGCCTGCTTCCCTTTTTGCAAAAAGCTTTAAGTCACTGCTTGAGTTGTCACATTTGTACAAAAGCTTACTCTATTGTGTGTGCAAGTGTGTGTGTTTGCCCCTATATTTAATGTGATATGTCAGCAGTGCTTTCTGTATCTTTGACAGTTTGAGGTAGTCAACGCTGGCAGCTGCCTGCTGACATTCCTGGATTGGAATAACAGTGAGTGGCATTTCAGTTTATAAACTGCCCCTCCCCTCCACTGCCCTCTGCAGCCACACTGCAGCCACACATCCGGCCTCTCATCTTTAAAATGCATCATTATCTCAGCTTCAGTTTCAGCTTCTCCTGCTCCTTCAGTCAGAGAGCAGGACTATGGATGAAACTGACCGCACCAGGGAGCCGCTGATCAGTAGGCAGGATCACACCAGGGAGACAGACCACACCAGTGAGGCACACCACACCAACAGGGACCCCAACCAAATTAACGAGGATTTGATCAAGGTCCAAATAATCTTCTCTTATTACTTAATTTGCTTGAGATTAATCAAGTCAAAGTGTGTCCTACAAAGTAATGCTGCCTTAAACTGTCAACTTTTGGCCTTAGATCATTTTGGCCTAACACTGTGTCATGGTTGTATCGTTGAGTTGACTGTATGTGCTGCCATGCACAACAGATTGCAAACTAATCAAGTCAAACGGAAAAAATGTTTTGCTTTAAGAAAAGGTGAAGATATTGGTGTTTTTTTCTTGTTAACAAGTGTTTTGGTTGATAGATCTTAAGTGTATTAGGGCTGAATTTGACTTGACATTTTAAAAATCTTGGTTGTGACTTTAAGCTTACTGTTAGTTAAAGCAGCTACACGGAATTTATTCACGTTTTTTTGCCTGTTTCGATGCCACCCTAACTTCTCCTTTCCGATTGGAATGGGAAGTTGAGGTAAGTTGGTGACAATTTGCAACTATACTTGCTGGATGCCACTCAATCCTGCACTGGTCCTTTAAGCTATAGATCCGTCTTTAAAGGGTCAGTTTACTCAGATCAGAACAACATATTTTCCCCTTATTATTGAAAACATACATTTATAGAAACCCAGCATTTCCTGTTTCCAGAAAACAGTGGCTGGATACTGCCTGAGGGATAATATGTTTATTTGGGATTTGCCTTTACTGACCCTTTAATCCTATAACCAAACAAATGAACCCTCTCTGTATGTTTTAGATCGACTTTGAAGATGTGATCGCAGAGCCTGCTGGCGTACACAGTCTGGATTGTGTATGGAAATGCAGCCACGACACCTTCACAGCGTCAAAGTGCTGGTTTTATCGCATCCTGACAGCCCTCCTTGGAATCCCTTTGTCACTGCTCTGGGGTCTGCTGTTTGCTTGTATGTCATTCTGCCGCATATGGGTGATTGTGCCCTGCATGAAGGCATGTGCGATTCAGTTCCACTGTCTGTGGAAACCCTACTTGCTGATCTTACGCTTCTTGGTTCAACCAGTCTTCGATGCAATGGGAAAGATATTAAGAGGTGCTAAAGGGGTTTTACGCAAGGAGGTGTAAGTTCTGTACTGCTGAATTATTCAGGTATATGGACCAAATCTAGCACATCTCACTGACTCCTAGAAGGTCCACAAAATATCGGGCTGCCAACAAACAAAAGATGTGGGATCAACAGCCACCATTTTTGTTTGTTGGTCTACATTTTGAGCTGATCAGTGTCTACATGTTGTCTTCTTTTTTGATACAGAAAAATATAAAAAATTGTCTAATCATGAATTTCACTCTTTAATTCTATGTGGATGTCTGCCAAACTTTAAATAAAATATTTTTTATGAAAGGGGTCATTGCACTAAAAATACTTTCTCCCTTTCTCTAATGACACATCTGTATGTGAACTTCCACTCTTTCATCTTAAAACTACTTCCTATGGAAGTTACTTTGAACCACAACATTTTGCTTGGCAACTTTCCAAGCTATAAAACACACCTAATAAGCCAAGAATGCACGTTATCTGATCCTGACACTGTTAGCACATTTCCCCAAACAGGACAGCAAAAGAAATGAAACAGAAAAAAGACTATTTGTTTAAGAATTCCACGTGGCCACTAGAGGGAACCATTATTCTAGTTTGATCCTAACTTGATTAAATGTTGTAAAAAGTCCAGGTACAATGATTACTCCATAAAACCATAAATCAGAAAATAAGAGATAGAGTTGATAAAAAATTATACACCAAATGAGCAGTGGAAACTATTTTCAAAGTGAAATTCACATTACATCATAAAGGACAAACACTGTTTGTAGCATGTCCGCTGAAAACATTGAAACCAGCCTTGCTGTAAAATGCATTCCTCATGGATGTTGCTTTGTTGATGAGTCTGTGTTGTTACAATGGAGATGTTTGGATTAAGGAGTGGATATTAACTTAATAACTTTAATATCATTCATGCATATCAACATTGTGATTTAACCACCCATAATAATGGAACTATACATTGCTTTTACACAACCTAATGCTGTTTAAAAGTCATTACAGTAACAGAGTTGGAGCCCATTTACAAAGAGTAACTTTTTTTTTTTCTTTGTAGAAATGTAGAATGTGCAACATTAAGATACTGTTGTTATAATTACTTGTCCTTTAAGGTCAAATCAGGACAATAACTGTTGGAACAACAGTCAAGACTATAAGACAGAAGCATAAAACAACTTTTAAAATGTCCAAGGTTGTTCATAGAAAGACAGAGTATAAATCTTGAAGTGCTAAAGTCTACATTATAAGAGAAATATATTATGTGCAGGACTCCAGTGCAAAGGGAGTCAAAAAGGAAAAGGGTGTTGTGGGAAAGGATGCACATCCATAGACATTTTGTTTTGCTCTTTGTTCACAGGATACAGGGCATTGTCTAGGCAGCAGGTTTACATCGTCTATTTTGCTCAATTTAAAACACACTAATTAAATGCCTGAAATCAGGAACTTGCATGATTGCTGGGTTACTTGACTACAGGAAGCATGGATGGCTTTCAGCTGGCTTTTCAGTGTCCTGGCCCTCCATTGCTGGATGTGTGTGTGAGGCTCCTCTGGCTGCTCGTGTTCTTGATGACGTAAGTGGAGGAGTTGCTTTTGTGCCTGCCCTGTTGATCACCGCTGCAGGAGGAGGGTAGGTACTGTCGGCAGCAGCAGAAGAAGCACTGCATCAGGTCCTGGAACAGGTGACCGGCAAAGAACATGTAGATCCAGGGGTTACAGCAGCTGTTGAGACTAGCCAGTAACATGGCAATGATGAAGGCCATGTCTAAGGAGATAGTCAGAGAAGAACATATGCTTATTATTATGTATGTTTAATTTTTACAATTTTAATACAAACTGAGGTTGAAAAAATAAAGCATCTTAAAGAATATTTTCTAAACTTTTATTATTGTCAATAAATCCCATGAAAAGGGACAAATTGACAATGAATTTATACTACTAACAAGTATTGTCTGTGTAATGAAAGCCTGTTATATCTTATTACTCTGTGCCATAGAGCTCCATTGTTGTCAATTAATAACACACCAATGATCCACACCCTTACATTGGGTGACGTGTTTCTTCATTAATACTAATATTGACACTGTAGTTCATTTTGAGTCAAATCGCACCAAATCCATGGCTAAAAATTGTCCCAACAAATACACAATTTTCTTCTGCTGGAGTAATACTAACAAAATTGATAGAATAGATTTCCATCTTGGGGCTGTGGGCCATAGGCAGAGTAGAGAAGAAAATATTGGAGATGGACTAAAATGTTGTTGCTTTTGGGTGAGAAGCACCCTGCACGCTGGGACAGGCTCCAGCCCCCTGAAGGATAAGCAGTTTAGAAAATGAATGGATGGGTGGATCTTTTAAGAGCCTCTAAAGTAACTAGTTTTTCCTCAATTCTATAAAGATGTAATGACCAGGTTGTGGGCAAAGGTCCAAATTAAGTGAGTGTGTACTTTGTTTGATCTTTCAAGCCTCAATTGTAAGTGTTTTTAGTCATTGCTACTATCATGCATTATGCAATGTCGGTTGGTCTGTTGGTTGGTCTGCCACTTTGGTCCAGAACAAATATTGTATAGGTTACCATGGAATTTTGTACAGACATTCATGGTTCCTAGATGATTTAATGTTTTGACTTTGGTAATCTCCTGACCTTTCCTCTAGCACTACCAAGTTGACCCTCTGTTATGTACCATGATATTTTGTACAAACATAGTCCCCTGAGTATCAAGTGTAATAACTTTGACCCATTTTCATCAAGCACCATCATCAGGTCAAAATATCAGTTTGCCCAATACTTAAGTTTATGACCAAATACTTGCACAACTAATGACATTCCCGTTAGCCTCAGCTGCACTTTTTATTTAGTGCTAATTAGCCCATGGGCATACTAACAGGCTAAGCTGGCAAGCTCTTGTTAAAATTGTATTAGTTCGTGGTTTTTTCTTCAATTTTAATTCATGTTAAATGGCACAAGCCACACATACACACTTACAGTCGATTAACAGATAATGTCATATTAAAACCTTCCCTGGATGGGTTTGGACTCCCAATTTTTCTGTTTCTACTTTATTAATATCAGTCCCCGTTCAAGGCAGTTGCACTTGTATTACAAATCATTTATAGAGAAATATATGAACTGACAGTCAGAAGCATTTCAAACAACCCCTAAAACATTTGGGATTACAGCTGAAAAAACATTGAAGGTTGATGGATGCCACACAAATCTGATTTTAAGTTGCTTGACACCAACATGATAAATGGCTTCAATTAGAAGAAGCTGTCCTGGATGGAAAAATATACCTTATTTTATTCAGTCATTCAATTGATTAAATTTCCAGTCGTTAGAGGCACAGAGCACACTGAAGAACCACACCATCTGAAGAGTGGAAAGTGGATGACTTCCAGGTTTTTTTTTTCAACCTTTAATGGGGTGAGAGAGATTTAGTGCGCGTTGTCTTCCTTTCTCCTCAAGTGAAAATGCTGACCTGGTCTGTTCATGGTGCTCCGGCTCTGTAGTCTAGTCTTTATTGCTGTGCACAGTGTCAACCAAATAGCCCGTCAAAATTACGATTCAACAGATAAGTCAAACACCCAGTCTAGAGGTCTGAGATTATTTGGTGCCATGGGGAGCGCAGTTCTTTTAAAAACCACAAAATGACAGCAGTCAAACAATTCTTCTTTTCAAACCTTGACTTACATTCACCACTTTCTTGTACTGCCAGAAATAAAAGAAAAACATTCATTTTGGCCATCTTCTGCAATATCATGATGTAGAGCTCTTCTGAGATTGAAGTTGGAAAAAAGGAGGGAGGGTGATGTTGAAATCAGGAGCAGGGCTTTGATGATACAGCCTATTTGATTAAGAATACGTACTCTATCAAAAGATAATTCTGAGGATAAAAAGTTAAACAAACATTGTGCAAATCAGCTTCTCCTTCACTATCAGTGGATCCTGCAGATTGTAAAAAGTGATGATGACTGAAGTTCAAGCCCTGCATGAGTGTGTTCATTTTCACTTTGATTGAACTGCCTTCAGAAACTCACCTACAGGGAGTCTTAACCTGAGGGGCATCACTTCAGAGAGAATGCAATAAGTCAGTTAAGATGAACACAAAATCTGCTATATTTGAATCATTTTACCTCCACACCTGAGTTTGAACAGAAGCTTTTCTTTGAAAAGTTTTCTTTGAAATGACTTGTATCCCTAAGAACATATTGAGATATTTCAAATTGATTACATCTCCCCTCTCTTCTTCTTTCTCCCATGTTAGCCATATATGTGTTACTTGTGCTTACTTCAATTATTCATTTTACTTGAAATTCAGTTAGATCATAATGACTGTCAGTAATAAGAACAATATTTTTGGTTTTAATCTCTTAATATTATACAGCAACCTATTCATTATAATGTCTCTGTTCGATGAAGACCACATATCTCCAAATGTGGTGATTTTGATTTTTTCAGATGAACTGGAAGAGTTTGTATTGCTTTATCTGTTAAGAAGATTTTCCTACTTGTTTTTTTTTTTTTTTTTTTTTTGATGTTTTGGGGATGTTACGCCTTTATTTGATAGGACAGTTGAAAATAGACAGGAAGAGCAAGTTGGGGGGGGAGAAATGTAGCAAAGGGCCACAGGCGGAAATCGATCCCGCCACTACAGCAAGGACTGAGCCTTCATGGGGCGCACGCTTTACCAGGTGAGCTACCATGTGCCCTGGATTTGCCTACTTCTTAAGCTGAATAAACCATTTAAAAACACTTTGTTATTTTGAAAAAAAAAAATCATATCCAAAAACATGAAAACTGTTGTTTTTCTTGTGAATCTTGATAAAAGCATTTTGGAGATACATGGTTTTGACAGCTACGAGGAGTTCACAGTTTCATAGTTTAGTATTTCTATTTCAGTATGAATGTGAAATAAATAAAAATTATTTCAACATCAATGACATGTTAATTGTGGCTTTTGAATGCTTTGCAAAATAACACGTTAAAAACGACATTGTAAAACAATGTTTACAATGCTAAAGTGTAACAAGAAATAGCCTATAGTGGTTGAGTCCATCCCTCCCACCATATGGGGGCCCCTATTGCAACATACACTTTAGATATGTAGTGTACAGTGCATGCATTCTTGTCTTTAATGTGTTTATTTTCCTAATTGTGTATCAAAGCTGCTTGGAGGAAGACTGATATAGGAAGATGATAAGCTTGGCTCAGTCTGGAAAGTTTAAGATATATCTAAATCGCCAAATGAACACACTAACAATTTTGCTAAGATAACACCACTTGAGAGGTCATGGAGCACATCTGCTCCCCTCCCCTTGTTCTCTTTAATGTCAATCTCAAAGGGGTTAATTTTGAACAAACTATGCAGTTAAATGGAAATTATATAAACCACCACTGGGAACAGAGATAGAAACTCTTTGATGCTTTGGTACATTTACCCCCCCACTGACTTTCTCTGAACTGATAACCACTGTAAATGACACTCTCATTCATCTGTGTTCACCCTCGGGAAGTCTGAAGTTAAACACCATTGTGCTGCCATGGAAGTGAATTGGATTGCTTATGCATTCCCAGAGATATTCTGTGAGGGAAAAGAATGACCTTTGTATGTATGAGACACTTAGTGCTGAAATATTGTTGTAGAAAAACACATTGTGGGTTTATGGGCAATAAATTCCCCAGTATAAATCAAAGATGATGTTCTAGTCATTGTGTCACTGAGCACTTGGCACACTATAAAATATATGCCACCAGTGAATGCACAAGAGATTTATGTCAAGATTAAAATTTAAACTGCATAAAGAAAAAGAAAAAAAAAATCTAAATGTGCCTTTACCTTCTCTTGGTGCAGCAGGATCCCATGCAGACCACATTTGGACAAAGAAGAAGGGAGTCCAGCACACAATGTAGGCAAGGACCACCACAAATGTCATTTTCACTGTGCGGATCTTTGCTTTTGAAATAAGCCTCACACTGCTCACACGAGAGAGGGGATGAGCGCCTTTGGAGGGCCTTGCAGTCAGAGCCAGGAAGTGCTCCTTTCTGGTCTTTAAATTGAAATTCTGCCATATTTTAAAACATATCAAGCCATAGCAGATGCTTAAAATTGCCACTGGGAAAATGTAAATGCTGAGACTCATCCATGTGATGTATGCTTTGGCACCCCAAGGCTGTACGAAGTCCCCCCAGCAGTCATACACGCCGTCTCCGACCTCTCTCAAGGAAAATATGTACGCTTGAGGAGTGCTGAATATCAGACTGAGCATCCAAGAGGCGATTACGCAGAAGCGATCCTTTTTCTTATGCACGGAGCGAAGCGGCTGGCAGATCGCTAGGCACCTGTCAATGGACATCAGGACAAGCATGTAGGTGGATGCAAACATACCCACGACCTGGAGGTATTTGACCAGCCTGCAAAGCAAATCCGGCCCATAGAAGCGAAATGTGATATCCCAAATGAGTTGCGGCAAGACCTGAAAGATTGCAACGACAAGGTCTGCGATGCTCAGGTGCTTCATGAAGTAATACATCCGAGACTGGCTGTGCTTGGTGGCGTGGATAGCCCACAGGACGCACAGGTTGCCGGTCAGAGCGAGCAGCAGCACCAGGACCAGGACGGTAACTTCCACTTTGGCTACTTCTTCGTTACGCTTCAAAGGATTCACTGTGATGTTTCCTAAAGGACTATCATTCCCGCGACTTGAGTTGCTCCAGGAAACATTCTGCGCCCAACTATTCTGCTCGCGTAAAATGTCCTCCATCGTGCGTAAGAGCGCCACTTTGGCGCAGCCAACGGTCACATCACAGAACAGATTCAGTACCGCTATCAGCTGTGTGGTAGTGTGGTTGCCCTGCGCAATTTACTGCCACATCACTCCATTAAAGTTGGCTTTGTGAGTTTCCCTCAGGTTAAATTACTGCGTGATCCAAGAGTCAGCGCTGTAGTCTGCAGAGAAACAAAATGTATCACTTTTATTGGAAACACTGGATTCATCTCAAGCATTTGAGCTAGTAAAACTTCACAGAGAAATTGTATTATCACATAACCATAGGAAGAGATTTTTTCCTTACCTTTAAAGCGATCCCTTACACAGTTATTTGGGGACATCGGAGAACCGCAGTCTGCATCAGCAGCTGCGTCCAGTTTGATGTCTAGTTTGCTGAAGCTCTGTACCAATCTCAGTAACCCCCTCCCCCCACTTATTTTCCTCCGAAGGAAACTGTTTGAGTTGAGTATGAGCAGACTGCACATTACAACAATTGAGTGTAAGTTTTGACTATGTAGAGTGTTTTGTGATTTGTAAACAACATCTGGGCAATGCTATCCTTTATTGAGCAGTGGGTCCGTGATCCCTTGACTCAAAATGAGGAAAATTCCACTCTGATCGTATTCAGAGCCTAAGAGGGTCAATTGTTGAACCAAAGAAAGCCACCAAATATGGAAAGAGATGCTGTCTGGAGCTGGAACACATTTGCTTTGGTTGAATGTAATTACATCTATGACTGTGATGCTGTGCTGTAAACTAGTACTTTAAGCACAGGCAAAATCAGGGATGATTAGTGAAGTCAAAAAGTCTAATTCAGGTGCCAGGGCAGTGAGTCATTATATCATTGCAATATTTGTGCAATATTGAGTGTCCAAACAGAACAAAACTGCTGTTAAAAATAACTAACTCCCTGAGGCAATATAATTCCCCAAATTGTTCCTTCGAAGGCATGAAGGAAGGATTCTTGAGTACTAACTCAAAATATTCTCCCATATTTAGGCCCATACAGTACATTTAAGCAAAAGATAATTAAAATGACTCAAATAACTATCTACTTACAACTAAGTGTTCTTTACTTTCACGCAGGAAAGTGGCTGTTATTTTTGTTACATGTCATATATCTTGTTTTTGAAAGGAACCCTTTATTTATTCACTCACATCCAATTCAAAGTAATCATTTCATTGCTGTTTTTTTAAATTCAATTTGCACAATAACCTGATTGTAACAATAAGGTTTAACCCAAACATTTGCCTTCTGAATAGAAAAACCAAACATTACGTTGCCTGAATGTGTTGCTGAAATTGACTAATTTACATAAATCATTATAAATTTGATTTTTAACAATCTGTATAAAGGATCTGTCAGACTGTCATTTTAGTAAACCTGGTTATTTCTGATTTTGTTCAGTCACAAAGAGGCAGGTCACTTTTGTTAGAGAAAAAATGATTCATTGTTCTCAACCATACAATGAACATGTGACCATCACATGTACGGTGTGAACAGTTTGTTCCTTTAGATTTATTTGAAACACTTAGTTGAACACTTGCAGGTGCTTTATTGTCAGTTATTTGTTCAGCTGAACAGCCCTCATGAAAGATATCTTCTTGTGCATGTGCTAGGTATACAATCTGATCAGACATGTTGACAGATAAACAGTTCTTTTTTTCCCCCAGGATACCAGGTCATGTAACATGCAGTACAGCAACAGCAGTGACCTACAGATGTGAAACACCCAAACACAGTCCCACTACAAAATAAAGTACTGCAAACTACTACCTAACCAAGAAGAAACAATTCAATTGCATATAAGTGTGTGTGCAATTTATGTACATTTTGATCTGTTTGAATAATCATTCTTTCATCATATATCACTGTGAAATGACTGAAAAATGTCTAAATGAGAAAGCGTCTCTATGTCTACACTGAATAATTGAGTGCATTACCCATGCACTGATGTGCTGGTGCTTTAAAGGGGTTGTTGGCATCAGCCATCAATCTGTGGGTTAGATGATATAACTGTATGCAGTAACACCTTGTAATTCATTCCACATGGTCCTAAAAGTATGTAATATTCACTGATTAAATAATGTGATGATTCAAATTTAAACTGTTTTACTTGTGCAACACCCATTCCCAGGTGAAAGAATCTCAATATCTGATTAAATCAGTTTTGATTGGCTACACAAAAGTGAAAAAGTATTGTGTATGCAAATCCAGGGAATTAATGTTTTAATTAATGTTTTTTTCAATTAAGTGATACATGATAGAATATTTTATTAAGTTATTCAGAAATTATGTTTCCAAGGTGATTGGCTGTTTCCAGGGCTACCCGTGGGAGTCAAGACACAGCTGCTCTGTGAGATGAGACTTGAGAATGCTTGGGCACCAATGAGGAAGCCATCCAGGTGATTCTCAGTACAAACCCAGGTCATGTGGGACGAAAGATCCAACAAGAGATCAAAAAGTGAAGAAAGGACTGCTGCGGATGAGGTGAAAAAGTCTTTTACTGATCTTTTTTAAAAGAATGCCACAAGAAAATTGTACAAATGGCAGAATGAAGGGCATGTAATAAACTCATGGCATCTCATAATTCACTGACTTTGCAGCCACACGCATATTCCAAGAAATATGCCAGATGGCTGACGTGCAATATTTTACTGAATCAATATAAGAGGGTGTCAACTGTTAGACCTGTCATATGAATGTTCTGGTTGATAAAATAGACATTTGTGGTCAATACATCATCCAGTATTTCATCTCCTCTCTGAGGAGGTTGCATGTAAAAATGTGTCGTGACCTGTTCTTTTGGACACATGTGCCATTAAAGCCCCTAAAAAACTTGTATTCAAGTATTTTTCTATGATATATGATAAAGGTCCATTATGTAACATTTCGGAGAATCTATATTGGCAGAAAGGGAATATAATATTCACAGGTATGTTTTCATTAGTCTAGAATGAGAATGACTTTTAGCGACATGGGGAGCACATCCTCTGTTATAGCCCAGATTAAACAAACCAAAAACTGTCTCTAGATAGAGCCTTTCACGTTTTTCAAGAGGTTCGCAATAACCATCATTTCTCCTACATGCTTGAAACAGAAGGGTGAGGCAAGGGTGTTGCAGTTACCAACTACACTATTAGGTGCCACTAAATCTTAAACAATGGAAATTTAGTCATGACTAAATAAGCAAAAAATTCAAAAGTTTGATTGTTTAGGTGTGATTTGATCACATTTGATTGACCTGGCAATATAAACATCCCCACAACTGTCATCACATTTTGAGCCTAACCTTTTCCTGACACAAATCAAGAATTTCTCATGTGAAAATAATACAAACTGTCACAACCTTTGCAGGAAATTGTAGCTGAAAAGCTGAGTAATAGGACCTATAAACTGCTGACATCACACATATAAACACAATGTATGAAGCATACATTGTACATACATGGAACATGGAAAAGCAGAACAATAAGTTGTTTTTGAACCTTTGGGAAGTCAATGTGGTCGATTACATTAAACTATAATGACTACAAGGCCCCCAAGCTGCTGCTTAGTTTGTTTATGCCTCAGGCCAGCTATGAGTGCATCAGCCAGAAGTCTGTGCAAAGTTTTTATCATTCATTCAAAAGCATCTGAAGACGTCACTGATATATTATGGCAAACTGCTTCAACATTAAACAATATTGGGTGTCAGACATTATGTAATCCATTAATGAATTGTACCTTCCACCATGGCCCCATTAATTTATTCTTTACTGAGTAACACATACTGTGTGGTACATAGGGTTGTATTGAACCTAGATACCAAGCACTGGCATCCTGTTGTGTACATATTTTAACAGCAAGAGCTAATTAGTAAGATGCTTGGTCCTCAAGAAGTTTTGACATGGTATTGCAAAGAAGGTTTTGACTATGAAACATAACACAAACAACATAAACTGAAAACTGGGCAATACTTGGAAAATCTCCCAATTATACTATCTCTGCTCTGGCTCCTGCCTCCTTTTCTCACATTAGGGTTTCGTTTCATTTCGTCTTGAAAATAAACTTGCCTCAAAAGGCTCTGGCCAGTAATTATTTGTGTGTGAGAATTAATCATTTTTATATAGGAGATAATCCATCTTAAAATGTTGGCAGAGGCAAGTGAATGAACACTTATAATGAAGATCTTTCGAGACACGATTTTACATGGGCAATCAATCAGTTATTTAAGGATGACATATTCATTAATTTTCTCCTGTGAAATGACTTAATAGCTCATTCGAATTGCACTAAAACGTAAAATTTTAACATAATACTGAAGTGACGTAGTGTATTTATGAATTATAAAACATGTATCTGGTATCTAAAAGAGTTTGCAAATTTCAACAATAAATGTTTATAGATATTTTTAAGATTAGAAGCCAGATTCTCCAACAAAAAGATGGCATCACTCAAAGATGATAATTAGTTGTTTTTTAAAAGTATGATAAAGTTACAAAAGTTACAAACCCACAACCTAATATTCTGAAAATTCTTATATTGTGAGAACTTTAAAATGTTTTCAGTGTGATTTTTAACTGAAATATATCCCTTATTACTGATACTGTCATTTTAAATGGTTTGTAAAGTAGTAATGCAAAACTTCCAACCACTTTGTTTTAAAATGGAACTTGAGGCCATGAGATAGAAGACGGGTGTTATTGCTGGTCTAGTGACTCCTACTGGTTGGGTGAGGGCTCAGTTTCCATCTCTTAGAGACCTTGATGTGTATTTTAGTCCCTGTTGCTGGCAACCCCTCTGTCTGGCAGGGGTAGTGACTCCAGAACCGCATGTGGCTCCTTAGCCATTGGCAAAAAATTAAATGGAAATGGATAATGGTCATTTTTCAATATTTTTGTTTATCATTTTATTATGTGTGTCATAACTGGTGTAATTTCTTTTATATTTTGCCAAACCTCACTAGTGGTGGTTACTAGTCTTCAAGCCTTAAGTCCCTCTAGCCAGGCAAGGTATGGATTTCAAACAAAAAATAAATTAATAAATAAATATACTGTATATATATTTATATATCAATTAATATAGATAATAATTTAATAGTGTGCAGACATGTTTGTTTGCTTTCACCACCAATGCTGATGACTTTCAAGGCCTACACAGAATAAAGGACCAAAAGTCCCTGTTCTTTTTTCTATTTTCTTTGTGGCAACATCTCTACACACACTGCAGTCACTATAGTCAGCATATGACATTGTATGTTTTCAGATCTGCCTCACTTGTAAGTCTATATCAAGCTCAACTTTGACTTTTCCCAAAATGTTTACCAGATGAATGTAGGTTGGTAAACCACATTCAAATCACATTCATCTGAACTTCTTTCTCAATTTCTGAACTTCTTTCCCAATTTTAAGATCAAGTTCATGCCAGAACTCAACTGAAAATGTTTCGGCATGATCTCATACAAAAGGTCATACTGTTCCCACAAAGACAACGTCTTCAGACTCATTGGGGTTTTTTTGTTTTATTTCATCTATTACTGACTGTTTGTTTGGCAGGCTAATGCTCCACTACACTCTCTGCCTACACTGATACATTTATTATTTGAAAATAACTAAAACTGAACACAACAAAATTGCCCAGACCCGACCGAATCATGTTTAAGACCCCGGTCAGAAAGCTCCACTTCTCTGCAGACACACTGGGTAACAATGGAGGATGTTGTTTACTGCATAATCTCAAAAGATACACATTCT